ATGATTATAGAGATGTATATCAGACTGCTTAATCTTGGTTTAAATTATAGACATCCTTTAATACCATGCAAACTTCTATGGATGCTACATATGAACGGGTTAGCATTCTCATTTTGCATTCTCTTAWATTTAAATTAATAATGAGCAACCTACAGTTGAAATGGGTATATTTCAGATTTTATCATATAATAAAATGTAATTTTCTGATGATAGCTYACACACATTATCCCTGAGGGAATATATCAGCAATTTCAATGACATTGCAGAGCTGCTTCTTCAAGATTTGAAAAGTTGCAGGGTGAGCTTCCAAAACACATTAATTATGTGGATACTCTCACAAAGGTAGACAAGCAGGAAGTCGGAGCACTTTGCCACTGCGCTAAAGGAAGGCACATTAAGTGGTCTGCAGGCTTCCTTCCCTTTCTTCTCCGTATTCAGACAATTGATTAATGATGGCACAAAAACACAGTTAGTAAGATCGACAGCATCTTAAAATAGCAGAAGGATATTTTTTTTCCAGTTTCTTGGACCTGTCATTTTTATTATAGAAGGGGGAAAAAAAGCAAATACAGATATCTCAGACTGAGTATCACTATTGTCTCTGAAGCCAACAAGCAGTTATTTATTTCAACTTGAAAATAACTACTATGATCAATCAGGCATTTAAAATTGAGCCACTTCAAACTGTTTGAAAATTGATTAAATACACATACTTCAACTGATTTTCCCTTCACATTCTATCTCCCTCTGGGCCCAGGAGATTGAAATTATTTGTAATGTAGTCATAAACACTTTCCTTCAAGGTATTCCTAGAAAATGGATTATATTAGAAAATTACAAATATAGCGATGTATTGCTATCAGTTGTAAGGCATTCTTTAATTTTAGAGACATTAAAATGACCAAAAGTTGTTATTTAGAATGCCTAATGTAAATATGACATGCGTGTATGTGGGGAGCAAATGGGGGGGTGGATATATTAAATGTGACATGGGGAGAAAAGTTCAATGGGTTGAAAATTATTTCTAGAAGTATCCATCAGTAGAATTATTTGAATGTTTTCTTTGCAAGCTTCATGTAGAAAGAAATTTTTGAATATTTGACTTTATTTTAGCACTAATAACTCTCATGGCTTCTGAAACCTTCTATGATGACCTAAAACAAGAGAGATCGAGACTGAATAAAATTCATCAGTAGATAAGTGATGTATGCTGGTGACCAGGAGGGATAATGTATCTTGTAGAGAAAAGAAGATTTTAAGCATTCTGTTAGTAGAGAAAAAAAAAAAAAAAGAATCAACCATTTTTATAGTTCACTATCAAACTTTCTGAAAGAGTAGTCTATTGGTGCTATTTTTATCTCTTTACTTTCCATTTATTCTTTAATCCCAACCTGCATTTCATGTTGTGTCTTTTGTTGTTGTTGTTCTTTTTTCGAAAACTACTATGTACTAAATCTCAAGTTCTTCACTTGTCCTTCTTTTTTCTTCTCTTTTTTTAAGCAGTATGTGAGACTGTGATTGTAGTTTTTTCTTGAAAGGCTTTCTTCTCTGGAATCACATCTCTTGAGTTTTTCTATTTCCTCTTCCCTTTTTCTAAAGCAGGAACCACAAACACAGGTCCCAGGGGCCAGGTAACACATAGGAGTCAGCAGGGGAGTCTYAGCCTGTGAACCTGCCAGAGCACCTAGGGACTACCCCACCTGGAGAGTGCCCACCCCTGAACAGCTGGTGAAAGGAGCTATTCACGCCCACCCAGGGATGAGGCCCAGTGTTCATATATCTTCTGATCTTAAAATAATGAGTCACCTATTTAAAAGGAATTTGCCTGCCATTTATAACAYACCTGCAAGCCAAATTTGGCTTTTAGTTTCTTCTGCTCTAAGTAAATCTTAGTTTCATTCACTGGTCTCCCTTTCTGAAATTKCATCATCTCAAATTTAGGAAGTCACTGAGATGGTGCTCACAGTCCTCCTGACTTCCCCTCTGAATTTTCTGCTTAGTCATCCCATCAAGCCCATCTCCATGTGGATAGTTCTYCTACCCATACTTCTAGTTCTGTCTTTTCTTTCGAATTCTTAGGTTCTGATTTTTCCAACAAAGTATTGTTCATGCATGTCCTGTTAAGCATAACTCAAACACATTAACCAAATATTTTTTTTTTTTATTTTTGGTCTTTAACATCACCTTCTCTTTTTGTTGTATGGTTTAACATTTTAGTCRTTTTTCACCTTCTGTATGTATTCATTAAACTTTGTTTTTTTCTCTCTCTCTGAATTTATAGGGTTTTTTTGATAGGTAATATTTCATAGTACTTAAAATTAGTCATTGGAATCAAACTGTTGGRTTTCAATCCCAACTTTCTTACTTACCAAGTAGCCTCCCCGTGCCTCTTTCCCTTATCTGGAAATGACGTCACAATATTATCTACTTCATGAGATTATAATGAGGATTTAAAAAGTAATGACTAGATAGCAGGCTACAAAATGAAATTTTCTTTGGGCCCAGATTTGCATAAGAGACTTAATGTGGGACAGATCATTTATTTGGGTCTTGCTAAGAAGAGCTAATCTAGTATTTTCTTTTCTATTTTTTTTTGTGTCTAAATTATGTGCTAATAAATGCTCTTCCAAGGGTACAACATATATTAACCTATTTGATCTTTATGAGAATCTGATAAGTGCTTTATTAATTCCATTTTATGGATGAGGAAATTAAGACAAATTAAGCAATTCCCTAATGAAACAGCTGAAGTAGAGAAGCCAGGGTATAAGAGGTTAGGAAGTCTGGCTTCTAGGTGCAGGTGTTCATTACCATGCCAAATAGCATCATTCAGTTGTCCAAGGATTGCTACCTTCCTTCTCCACTCTCCACACAGTACTTTCTTCTTGCCTTAAGCCAGTTGCAGAGGGTTTTGAGAAAACCACTTTGAAAACTTGGTCTATGCCTTCTGGAAACTGGGAGATCCATGAGCTGATATATAAATTTCATTTGAAGAGGACAGACTACAGAGTGTCACTTCTATGGACCATAGAACATTTTCTGTAGGCCAAATGCCACCCAAAAGGGTAGAGAACAAGAACAGTGCGAGGATAGAGTAAAGAGCCCCACCATTTCTCTTTCTCACTTCTGAGTGTGCATTAGGCTCGCACTAGACAAGGAATAAGCTTTAAGTTAGATTTGAAATTGAAGTTTTGATGGCATAGTGTAGGTGAATGGGGAAAGGGCAGGAAGAGTGACTGAAAACCACAGGGAGCCTTATGGGACAGGCAAGTACCTGGAAGATGAGGTCCTGGTATGTCAAAATCTCCCCCAGCCATAATTAATTATTAACTGCATCCCCTTAAGAAAAACTATTGTTTCAACTTTATGTCCCACCTTTCCGGTGGCCAGGATGTTCCATTATCACAAAAATTATGTCAAAACCACCCCCAACCATTCTTTGAGACCAGGATATCTCAGACCCTTACCAAAAAAAAAAAAAAAAAAAGGTTTGCTGAGGGCTATTCAAAGGGCAATATATAGATTAAGGGTTTATGAGAAATCAAGGCAACAAAAAAATGAGACCTAGAAATCCTTAAAAACCCCTGACTTGCTCTCCTCTCTCCTGAGAGGGTCCTCTTTCTCCCTTTTCTTATGCCTTCTAATAAACTGCTATTCCTTTACTAAGTGTCTGGTCTTGCATGGAATCCTGTTGAGCAAGACCACAAGGATCCACAGTGGGGACCTCTGAGCTGCCTCCCTCAGGCTCCCTCAGCAGGTCCCCTCTACAGCAAGAGAATTATGCTTTTTAATTACACAATCACCATTGAGAATTACTAGCAAAGTCTTGGTATCTTTCTGGATACTATTCAGAAGTAGAGAAAAATGAATCCACATGGAGGCCGGGTGGAGCAGATACACAGGCTGCACACTACAACTTGAGGTAATATTGATTTATTTCTCCAAAGCTTTAGATTTTCCTTATTACTTCCTTAATTGCTCAGAACACTCAAACTTAGATCCTATCTTACTCTAACATCTGTATTATTTAACACCACTTGGTCTGTGCTCTTAGGACTACCTGAGATGAACTTAATACTTGCCCACACTTCAAGGTTTTTTTGGGATATCAGCTAAACCATAAATCTTTTCAAGAAAGACTCAGGTATCCCCCTAGTAGGATTGATCATAGCCTTCTATCACACATTTATTATCTTATCCTCTTTTACAGTATAATTAAAATTAGTAATTTATATATCTTTCTTATTCACTAAATTCTGCATAAATTCCTTGGGGGTAAGAAGATGTCTTATCATTTTTAGTAATCCATATAGCACCAAGCAAACTACATGGATACAGAAGTTTCAATAGACAATCACAAAATTAAACCTTAATGAATATTATGACCAGAGACTTTATTCACCTTCAATGCATTCTGAAAAATTCTCCACCATATGGACCTTGTTAAAAATCTCTGCTTGCAAAAGAAACAATGATATTTGGATATAGTGGCAACAACAGCAAAAGGAAAATCAAATTACAGAGAACGAAGTTTCCTCTAATGTCAGACTGGTCCTTATATGTTTGCATACTAAGGAATTATAGCACAAGAATGAATACAAGCCAAAGAAGTAAAAATGAATATTCAGTCCCAAGTAGATAAAAATTGCAAGACACAGTAGACCATGAGCCCAACTAAGAACTCATAAAGGGTTTGTGCCTATACCCCTATGAAAGGTGTGTGTATTAGAGGGTAAAACTTTTGGATGACTCAGAACTTAGTTTATACTCTGCCAGATATTCAACACAAGACTCTGGAAGCCAGAAGCAAGAGTAATCATGGATTACTGGAGGCAGCTAGCCAACAATATTTACCAACACACAAAGAGAATTTTAAACACAGTTAAGATAAAAACAAAGAGAATCGGGACCACTCAGCATCTGCAGAATGTAGAGAAAATTCCTCAGATCGTTATTTATGCTAGATGAAGAACAGGATTTATGATCAGCTCCTGATTTACAGTATCTGTCATCAGTCTGGGTCCAGTTGGACAGGCAGGTACACTGGCTGGCATCATGGTCCCTCTGAGAACTGTCATTACCAGTGAGGTACAGTAGCAACATCGGCTGTAGAAATAGATTGGGCATGCTGCATAAAGACAAACAAAAGACCTCTCTCCTTCAGTAAACTGAGAACACTCTCTTGGCCCTTGACATTCCAACAATGCTCTGGACTGTGTCAACTTTTGGCAGCCTACATCTGTGGGGTTCAAAAGAGAAAAACATTCGTTGAACTACTTGACTACTCTGGTTTTTCTATGGAATACTTTCATGAAAATTTTTCTTTTCCTCTAAAATTCCCAAGCAGGTAGCTACAATATCACATGTTATTTCATTGCACAAATGTGTCATGTCCATATGTGCTTCTCTGATTCTCTAGTTCAGAATTACTAATTATATTATTGCAGCAAAGTCACTTAATGTTCCCTTGATTTGGATTCCTCATTCATAAAATGAGGGTAGATGAATACCAAATTCAGATGCCTGTTCTGAGGATTAAGTAAGAAATCTAATGGAAAACACCCAGCACCATAGATAACAGAGTTGGAGCTCAGTTAACAAGAGCTTTGAGTAATGTATTATCACTATGATACATGAGTTTCTATTGACCATATAGTGTTATTATTTACTACACATTGAACTATATATTATATATATTATTACCTAACTGAAACTTTCCTTTCCTTTCTTTTCACTAAGAGCCAGAGACATTTATTCATTTATCTAAGATGGCTATTTTATTTTAAAGAAGAGAATGCATACACTGAAGGTGTGTATAGAAGGAAATAAGTCAAGAATCTTCAGAGAAAAGCTAAGGGATCATAAAAACTTGACCACAAGCTGGGTGCAGTGGTACACACCTACAATCCCAGTGGCTCAGGAGGCTGAGACGGTAGGATTGCAAGTTCAAAGCCAGCCTCAGCAACTTAATGGGACCCTGTCTCAAAAATAAAAAATAAAAATGGGTAGAGGATGTAGTTCTGTGGTAAAGTGCCCCTGGGTTCAATCCCCAGTATAAAACAAAACACAACAAAAACAAACTTTACCCTTGTCTGATATTGTAAGTCTTCTAAAACATTGAAAAAGTTTCTGCAATTAAAGAAAGGAAGTTGAATCCAGTGGAYGCTGAGAGCCATTGTCAAGTAGTGTAAGGGTCTGGCGAAACGTAGGAGGAAGAGACCATAAGAGACCAGCTTCRTGCAATAAGCAGGAGGGATTTTTATTGAGAAGGATCCTAATTCAGTGYGCTGAGGCTCTAAGCTCACTCAGGAAGGAAAAACAGCCCAGAGCCCAGAGTAGAGGTCAAGCAGAGCTTAAGTACACTTTTGGGGGAGGGCGGGGTGCTTTGCATACATCAGAACATATCATCATGAGGTGCGGGAAAACTGAACAACAACTCTGAGACATGATTAGTACATTCATTGGCGGGAACAGGCTGGGCAGGGGTGATTGGTCACTCCTAAGCGGGGTACACATTTAAACTGATTGGTTTTAGGGCCTAAATAACTACTTGACAAACTACGCAGAACCCTAGGTTATTAGACAACCAAGGAGTCAGGAGAAATATTTACTGGGCAGTTTCAGTATTGTCCTAACAGCTACAGGGATTACAGGTTCTGGGGGTAGCAGAGGAATTTTAACAATACCTAGTCCTTCACTTTTTAACTCAGGCCCTGTAGCTTGGAAACTTTACAATGCCCGGTCTTTTACACTTTAACTCAGGCTTTGCGGCTTAGAATCAGCTTAGAAATTTTATCCTTACAGTAGAAATGACGCATGGCAATTTCTTTGTCAGCCTACCCCATGTTGCTCAGAGGAAGGACTCTCCATTGTGGAAATGGGCTTGTCTTAGACTCAGGTCATTTGCAGTGACATTGCATGTAAGGTGACCTTGCTCAAGGACCAGGGCAGATCCAGGTTTAGGGCGGATCAGGGTTTAGGGCGCTCCTTGGGTTTAGGGTGCTCCTTGTGTTCAGGGTGGTTCCAGGTTTAAGGTGTATCCTGCTGGGAATAAGGCGTATCCTGCTGGGAATAGGGCGTATCTTGCTGCCTCAGGCACATCTGCTCCTTGAGTTCTCGGGGGATTCAGAGAGTATTTTGGGATACAGAGCCCAGTGGAGGTGTGGATTTCCCCCAGAACATTCGTGTAGAGTGCGGGTGACAGTTCGAGAATAAAGAGTTGCTGTTTGAATCTACAAGGTGTGAGTGGCTCGTGATTTTGTGCCCAGCAAGACTTCGGCAAGTGGAGCTGTGGTGCTGGGCATAAGCTACAACTTCCTTCTCCTCTCTCCCCTTGAACCATCTTAACAGGTCTAATAATTCAACCTAGGACACATGATATCCAGAAGTACAGTAATCTCGGTGTTTCTCAGGTCTCCTTTGTATTGGATGAGTTATTTCTCTGAAACTTAAAGCCCAACCTTCTTTACTAAGTTGTTAAGAATGTTCTTAATTGAATCAAGCCCATCAAATAGAGCATCTCATGTACAGAGAGAGCTGAAGAGTGCCAAAAAATGAATGATAGCCTTCATCATGCACAAACAGACAACTAATTATCAGGCACTATGATCAGTGATGTTATGGAAGAAAGAAATTTCATGGTTTGGTTTGTTTGCATAGGACTAAAAAATAAAATTCCTTGAAGAAATTTAACCAGCAATTATAATGGAAAAAAGATATTTAGTAAAGAACAATGAACTATGGTTCTTGTCGTTCCATATTTTAAATGTACATGGTGCTTGGGGGGAATTCAGGGCTGAAGTATGAGGGTCATCTCTGGAAGCACAGTGGTGGGTCCTATGATTAAATAGGTGGGTTCTATGTGAGAGTGGTCAATGTGAGGTGAGGGACAGGTTGATGATGAGCCTTTAACATTATGGTATTGTCACTTCTTGTGTATAGTATAAGTCAATGAGGCTTATTAAGGAATGACAAGATGAACTTTGTTCTTAATGATCTAACAGACAGGATGGAAGCTCATCCAGTAGGGGTGAGACTGCTCTTAGGTTGCATTCAATGTGTATATGTTAAAAAGGCAAGCTAATTTGAATATTAACTTTTTAAAAATACAGATATAAAGACAAATCTCCTCGAGACCAGGAGACCAGCTCTACCATCCCTCAACTTAATGTCTGCACCTCAGCTGCTCCAGGACTCCCTTCTCTGCCTCCTGATGATGGGGAGATGAACGCCTTGGTAATGACATACCCATTTGTCCTCAACCACATCCCTGTTTCAAAACCGAATTTGCACAATAGCTTCTTGAAAGGCCTGTCACTGCTTCAGTGTCGCCTCTGTCGCACTTCTCTGTGGGAGCTGACATTTTGCTGATACTTCATCAGGCTGGCCCACCTGCTGAGAACCAGATTGGTAAGGGAAATGCATCTCACTGCGGGAAAGGATGGGCGATGTATTATTTAAATACAATTTATTTTACGGCAACTTTAAAAATCAGATTTGCAATGGCTTCAGAGAAACAGAGGCTTTTTGCTGCATCTCACTTCTTTGTTTGTGGAGGTACTGAGGACTTTTAATTGTTCTTCTTAAGTTTTTCTTTTTATTCGTCTACTTCTTTTGTTGATTTTACATATAATCTTTTCTTTTTCTTCTACTTTAGATAACTGTCCTTTCTTTCTTCTTTTTTTAATAACAACTTGTCATAAAGAAAACGCCAGCCCTGGTTTGTGGTGGGTGTAGTAGAAATTGAAAATAGCTTATAGGTGGTTAAAAGAAGCAAATGATCCCTCTAGATCAGAATTTTACATGAATTCTAGAAAAAAAAAGGATAAATAAGGCTCTGTTTCAGGCTCAATATTTTTTTGGTCAGTTTTTTGAATCTTGTATGGGTTCAAACGATTGATTTTTGTCTTAAAAATAAACTAGACTAGCTAAATAGCCAATTTTTTGTTGGTTGGAGCTATTTGTTGGTTAATTCAACCAGAAAGGTCAAACTGGTTAGCTGTTTTAGAAAGAGCAATGTAAAACCACTACCTGAAAAGCAATCATTTCTTAATATAGAAGGAGAAAGTAAAGGTCATGAAATCATTTTGTGTATTCAGAACACAATGTTTGTCAGCCAGTGGTTTGTTGGAGCCATTACTACCAGCTTGGGACACCAACCATTAAATTTTCAGGAATTTTGTAAGCCATTTGACATCACATTGGTTGCTTGAAATGACCACGGTGGGAGTATTACACCATGGAAATAGGTGAACGCTACAACCCAGGTTTTTTATATTTCAGACAGCCAGTTGTTAAATATTTACCAGCTTTCCATTGGGAACTTAGACCTGTGTTCAATATGATTTCCATGAAGTTTCATCTAGTGATGTTGGAAACATGGTTGTATTTGTTATTAGAATCTCCCTCCTTATATCTGTTCCCTATTCTCTGTCACTTCACTTAGTTCAGAGGCCTATTTTATAAAGGTTTATGAAAAACATGGCAAAAATCAGAGATATATTAGCAAAATGATTAAGAGATAGAAAATCGAATTTCTGAAGAACGGCAAAGGAAACAAATGTTCAGGGGACATATTACTGAGGTTTTTTTTTTTTTAAGTTTTGGTAGTATTGATGGACTGTGTTCAACATTCACAACAAAACAGAGAAAATTGGACTTCAATTAAAAGAGCAAGTTCAGTGAGACTGGTATTCACTGTCATGGGAACAGTGAAGATTCTCAAAGGCTACTTTAAGTAATGACAAAAATTGCGCACTGGTATTCACTACCTTACTACTTTTTACATTAACAACTTTTCCAAGGAAAAATTGTAAGGCAGTATATATGGAAAAGACAGAAACGTATAAAGGAGAAAAATACTTACCCACAGCCACTGTTAACAACAGCTGTCCTTTCTACTACAATTTTCCATGGGTTCCTGTTCTCATAAATTTGGATCATTCTCTATATACAGCATTTAACGTCAATTCTCCTGACAATAAACATTTATCAAAAAACACAAATCCTAACCGCCTAAGAATAGTCCACAGATGTATTATATAATGGTTTAATCATTCTCCCCTTGGATGGATATTTAGGCTGTTTCCATTTTGTACTTTTGCTATGAGAAATAATGTCAGGATAAAGAAAAAGCTAGGACCACTTCTCTGATTATTTGATAAAAGGCCTGATAGAAAGTTACAGTGCCCTTCCCAGAGGTGACACTTTTCCCAAGTTGTGAGGGCCTGGGAAGCCATCCACCTCCCTGTGCCACACACACCATGCAGGAAAAAGAAAAAAACCCACAAAACCCACACATTCGCATAAAACATTAACCAGCATAAGACATAATCTAGAGGGTTTCCTACCAGTAAAATAAAATACTTTTTAAAAGAAAAATTTCTCAAGTATGTGTATTTATAACTTCCAAACAATGGAATTTTTACAAAGCCAATAACTTTAGAAATAGCTTTTTGGTCTCTCCTGTCTATAAAAAATATTACTTTGTATCGCCTGTAAGTGTTTTTACAGTTCATTATGCAGAGTAAGTAGGTTTTAAAATTCTGTGAGCACCATAACAGGGTATTTAGAGATATGTTGTATGTTTTTCTTCAAATACAGGCCTTTTAAAAAGTGCCATACATAGTCTTTGTGAAGTATGTGTGAAGCATTTTTTTATGAGTTCTATCATTCAGTTTCACTCATTTTCCTAAATAACTTATTACCGTGATTATATAATACGTGTTTGTGTTTCTGTGATTAAAATCAAATAATAGCATGTCTCACTAAAACTGAACTGGACCAGGAGTTAGGGCACTTTTTGTCTAGTCAATTCAGTACATGTATCATAATCAGTTTGCCAATACAATTTAAACAACCATTGCTTTCACCACAAATTTCTCAGGACTATCATAAAATATTCTCTTGGGGTTTGAAATACTAGGATGGAAGCATTATAACACAGCACGACTATTAAAATTAATATTTGAGAGAATGAGCAGTTTATCTTTTCCTTGTTTTTAAATAATCTATTTATATCACCTGACAATTGAAACAATGTAAATTTTATTACTATCTGCTTAATAATAACTCCATTAATGTTGAGTTAAGACAAGAGAAAATGTCACTGTGCTTTGGAAAGAGCAAGAAACTACCTTTTGAATATGTAAATTCTTACCTTTAAATCTTTTTTTTTTTTTTTAAAGCAAACAACTAGGTTAGGGATAGTCAACTGCTGCTCTGGTAAACTTCTATACTATTTGAGATGATTGTCAACAGTGCCAGAATGATGGTCCTGAAATAAAAACTGTCTAGTTATATACAGAAAAACTGTCAGGCAAAGACCTGTCCTGTCACTTCTGCTTGAGGGTTATCCTTAGGGGTAGTAATGTATTTCCCCAAATGATCAGATGATTAGCTCTGTGCTAAATACTCTCCTGTATTATATTTTATGTTTATAGTTTATATTTCTGGTTTTGTTTGTTTTTAGAAAGTCCTAAGCACTCAGAACTCATTCAGACACAGCCTACATTTTAATAAAAGATAGCTAATCACAAAAAATAGAGTTTTGCTAATCTTTATTAGACAAAGTTGTAATAGTAATGTGGAAAACGCCATCATTACCATCCAGTTCACAGCTTTTCTCCAGCTCTCAAGCTACTCTGTTTCACTGCGGATGGGGCAGAGGAGATAAAGCAGTGGGGGTTAGCTTAGGTGTAGGTAAGAATCACAATCAGAAGAGGGTATGGCAGGATAGTAGTTCTGACTCTTTTAAACAGGTTCAATTTAGCTAATCACTTTTTAGCAGTTTATAATCTGCTCCCATTCTGTCAAGAATGATAATCCTAGTCTAGAATTTCTTAAAATGCATTTCAGTATAACATTAACTACTATACTCTGGGAGATTGGTTCCCCGAATGACTGCAACCATCTCACCCAGTTTGCAAGTCTCTGGCAATGAAATTTTGCTACTCCTCTGCATCAGGAGTTAGAACCTCTTTCTCCTCCCCCTAACTCTGGCTTGCCTCATGATTTGCTTTAAACAGTGGAATGCAGTGGAAATAATAATGTGTGGCTTCTGTGGCTACACTTTGAGACATCTGTAGCTTCTGCTCTCACGTTTTCTGTATGCTCCTTCTTGGAGTGTTGTCCTAACACTGCTGTGTGAGGAGGAAGTCCAATGGAAGAAATGCTATGCAGAGGAAAAGCCAGGTTGCATGGTTGAGAAGCCCAATTGTTCCCAGCTGATCAACTTCCTGAAATTGCCACACGAGTGATACATGAGCAACTAGCAGTGAGAGCCATCTCATCAACCCACAGGATCAAGAGAAATGATAAATTATTGTTTTAAGCCACAAAGTATTGGGGTGGATTGTTGTACAATGATAGCTGGAACAGCTTTCTAACAGCAACACCTTGTATAGCAGTCAATAAGAAAAGCATTTATAAAGCCAACAATTTTATTGACTCTGTTGGGTCTCCTTTCTAGGTTTATTACTTACACATTGTGCAGGATTTTCCCATGTAACCAGGAGCACAGGTACAGTTTCCAGTTTCTTTGTCACACTGACCTCCATTTTCACAGGGTCCACAGGAGAACCTGCATTCTGGTCCCCAGAGGCCATCAGGGCAGGCTTGTGAAATAGAGAGAGAAAGAAAGACTTGCAATAAAGCTCAAGATGGTCCCAGATTTCTACTGTTGCCTAAGTGAGTTGGCAAATGTGTGCGTGTGTGTCTGTGTGTGTGTGTGTGTGTGCACGCATGCGTGTGTCTGAGCTGCAAAGAAAGAAACATTCTAGTAGCCTCTGAGGATTTATAGCACTTCCAAAAATATTCCCTGAAGAAATCAACATGATGCTCTATCTTGTCACTTTGGAAACACAGATACAGTGGTTGGCTTTTTGCTGAAAATGTAGTTTTTCAGACAGTAACAATGGAAGCAATTTTGATATATATCTTTGGAGGCAGTTGCACAGAACAAAACATGAAAATGAGATGTAATTTGTAAAGGAGGCATGGTGCTTGGGAAGTTGCCCCCAAATGCTTGCCTCAATCCTTTGCTCCCAGTCTTTGCTTTTTTTTTTCCTAAGTCAGAATAATCACACCAGAGGTTTGCAAATTGTGGATTTTATGAAAGTATACAATGCACTCAAGAGAAATTGTGTGCTTCTTTGTTGAATGTCCTTTGAACTAGAAAAGGACAGTTGAAGCTGTATCAACACTGAGACTCGGAGGTCTCAGCATATGCTCTACCATAAAATCACTGGAATTAGAAACCTAGTGGGAAGCATTCTTTTAACACAGGGAAAAAATGGTGAAATTTTCCAAAACATATGGTAATTATAGAAAGTCACAGCAATTGAAATCGAATCATGGAGTATCTTCTGAACTGGGCAGAGTGAATTATTTTCTGGGATTTTAGTACCTGATCTGATGATTGCTTACTCTGCACCAAGCACTTTATGTAAATTAGCTTATATTTCCATAAAAATTTCCCCGTGATCACTTTATTTTATTTTTTACATGAGATGTTAAGTGACCTACTCCTTCACCAAGCTAGAGAGTAGCAAAGGMAGGATTTGAACCCAGACCATTTGGCTTCTGAAACTGGAGCCATCAGCCACTGCAGTCAGCTTTCCCAGCTATACTAAGTACTCAGGACCTTCAGAGTCAATTAACCTGCCCTTAGAGACCCATGAGAGTTCAAATTTCAAAGTTCATCTAACGTGGAACTACTTTAACAATAATCTGTCATTCTTATTATGACATGAAGGTTATTATGGACCATCTTAAATGGACTTAAGGGAATTGCTGGACCAGAGGGTCCTCTACAGGTAACTGGGGTCCAAAATACCCCAGGCTATAAACTAATGGATATAGAAGGGAAAGGCATTGTCTGCTTTTAGAAAATAACCTTTTTTTCCTTTCTTTTCTTTCTTTTTTTTTTTTTTTTTTTGGTATTTCACAGGTTAGTTGAAGAAACCAGCTCCTCTGTTCTTAGAAGTCACTGCTGATAAGCTAAATAAGGACTGGTGTTGATTGTGGAGAATACTGTTCATTAGTGCCATTGAAACAATTTGAAGTCTTTAATTAACTATTCATCTGCAATCTAGACACAGGTCTGGAGTTAAGATTTTTAAGGATCTGTCTGGCGCTAGGAGCACTTGGGCTACTTCACTCTTTTAAAAAGGAAAAAGAAAAACAACAGGCCTGATTTTCATCATGCACAACTCTTAAAGAGCTCTTTTTGCCTTGATTTCAGCTGCCAATCATGGCAAGCCCATTCACCCGCTCCAGTCTGATTCATAATTTCATTTTGTGGTTAGACAAAAATATCAGAATTGKACAAAGTTATCTGATTGAAAAATAATATGTTTTCCAGAGATTATGGTGACCTCTCTATTTTGCTGATTTACATATACTTTCAACTCATTTTCTTTCACAGTGGGAATCTCAGAAGCATTTTCCAATAAAGTATATTCAGCAGCTGCTTTAAGAAAAWGTTATCAGAATAAATTAAATTTACCCAGGTGTGTGGATATGGTATTATCTCCTTGGGCATTAGCTTCCAGGGCATGACTTCTCCATTGGGGAAAGAAAGAAGGGGCCAACTCTGGGTTTAAAAATCAGTTGAGGCAAGAGATTTAGAGAGTGACACAAGACCCACTTATACCATCTTAAACACGTTCATGTGATATGTGATATTCCCAGGTTCCTTTCCCCATTACCTAGAAACTCACAATCCAGCTATCTAAAGAGTTCACTCTCCACAAAATTCAGACGGACATTACTGCTAACATGCTTCAGTTCCACAGGCACAGAATAACCCGGAACAAAGTCACACTCCCCTTCTCATTCAGCTCCAGAAAAGCCTTTTAGACTCTCTGAAGACTGCAGTATAAGGAGCAGTTGAGGATACAAGAGGGTCAAGAACAACTGTCAATCTCAGTGCTTCCCTTTGTAAGTGAACTTGGTACATGATGGCTTCCTTTCAAACCCATTATCTTCTCCCAATTTTAAGCAACATTACCTTTTGGGTCCTGCAAAGGCAAAAAGTATCATAACTTATCATTAGTTATGATAATTGTATTTGTGGTATGGTCAGTATTTTGTATGTCAAGATTGTTCTAGGAGTTTAGGGATACTGGCATAAAATTGCAGATACTCTTYACACATGGGGTTCAGATTTTAGCAGGGAAGGACAGGCAATATATATTAGACAATATATAATTAGAATATGTGGTCTATTAGAATATGATAAGCATGAGAGAAAAAGAAAAATGTTCAGGGAAACTTGCAAGTTGCCATGTTAGATAGGGTGGGACTGATAAAATTCGGTGCAAAGGTGACATGAGGCTTTGAAAACACACACAAAAAATGCCCTGAAAAACCTAAGGAGGAGCATTCCATGAGTCCACAAGCCAGAAACAAAATCGCTGACATCTTGGGACCCTGTCTTCCAAATTTTCATGCAAATACACACACACACASACACACACATGAATATATTACTTATAATTGAAATTATGCTATACATAAACCTTTCTATTTGTAGTTTAAATTTAAAAGTTATATAATATCTAAAAATTTGAGAAAGGACAATATTGATAGCCATTTTAAATTTTCCACAATTAAGCATCTTTGCATTTTATTTGTTTGAGTGACCCATTTTTAGATATAGAGAGAATAACTCTTTAATTCAGGAAGCCAGCAGTGTTCTTGGTTGATTAGTTCAGCTCAAAGAAGTGGACACAAGTAGCTCTCATCTTTTTTTCTGGACAAGATACTATATAATGTGATCTTTCCTCCTTTCTCAAGTCAGTAAGGGGATTGCTTATAACAGAATCTGAGAAGACAAGGTTAAATAACTATATTGCCCTGTGTCTCAGTTTCCTCACCTGCAAATAGGGGATTAATAAAGCATACCACACCACCTGAGGACACTGGTGGATTAACTAATTAATGATCATATGATGCTGAACAAAGGCTGAGTGTTATTATTAGAGAAGAAAGAAAAATCTATCATCAGATTGTACCTTTCTGGCATCTGTTGCCTTGGTAACCAGATTTGCAGGTGCAACTACCATTTTTGGCACTGCATTCCAGGGTGTTCTCCTCCACACACTGACATTCCAAAGAGCAGCCAGCTCCGTAGGCCCCCTTGGGACAGTCTGTGAGCAGATTGAAGCAAAATGGTCACCTGAAAACCACGCTTTGTTTATTTTAAATTGTTAGTGCACAGGCATGTCATTCTGTGGGGCCTGATTATGAGGAAAACAGGGGATCATCCTGACTGCCAAAATAAAATAAGGAAACAAATGTCTTTCAAATCAGACAATTCATTTGCTTTTTGGCAACTGGACATGAACAGTGAAGCCTAAACTACTTAAAAGGCTTTGGTGCTTCCAGGAGAGAAATTGCTTCTCAATGTGCTCCACTGGTGCCCATAGTTAATATTCTCCAAGGACTGCTGCCGCTGCCAGGACCCATAGCCATCCTGCTGCAGCATGGAGATGATGGACAAGCATTTATGTGAAGGCTTGCCATTGTTTCCACTCCCCTTCATTATATGGTAATCGGAAAAAATTTTACATCATGCAGATAGCACAAAGCTTTCACAGTGATAGTAGCGTAATCTTGACCACATCTTTGGCAAATGGTGCTTGCCCTCATGTCATTATCTTCCCCCTGCCATTGAGCTTTAGGGTTRGTCGTCAGCATTGGAATCCCAAATTGGAAAAAGTCCCACTTTTGCATTTAAGAAAACATACCTGTAGTTCCCTTTCTGAGGAGTTACTAGAATAATTCATTTCCCTTTCCAAAATGTTTCTCTGACATCGTTTCTTCCCTATTACAGATGTTCRAGGGACTTATCAAATGAGAGATCCTTTTAAGTGCCCTCCAGGCTCAAGGTAATTGTTTTGTGTGTCTTTATGGGCTTTGCTACAGAAAGTTGCTTGCAGAAAACAAAACACACCACTCCACTTGGTGGTAGATGGAGAGGGACAAGTAGAGATCATTCAAAGCAGTGGTTATAAAGGTACACCCAGGATGATCCTAGTGCCACTTGCCAGGGACACTCAGTTACCACTGAGGCAAAACAAAATTATTAACAGAATTTTGTTCTCAAAATCGTTCATGATTCCCCTGTCAAATTTTCTACAACGTTTAAGTCTGTAATTCTTTCTCAGACCCTCCAAGCCCCAGGGTTTCTCAGACTTCAGTCTGCCCTGATATAAGCCTCTTTTTATCATCTCAGAATACTACCCTAGATTGACTTTCATGTATTACTCTACCTGATTCAGCATATAGATTTGTGGCTCCGGGGACAACTCAGGCACAGTGGAATGCATAAATTTGACATTTGGGTATATTAAGAACATATAATTGTAGCAATACGTTTGGAAAAAAAGGGAAAGTAGAAGTAACCTCTGTTGGCAACCAAGTGCCTATTCAGGGTTTGTTATGTATTAAAATGTATTTTCAAAAAATTCATATATTGAAGTCCTAATTCTCTGGATCTCAGAATGTGTGTGATCTTATTTGGAAATTGCAGATGTAACTGGTGAAGTTATGATGAGGTCATACTAGAATAAGATGGCCTTTAATTCAAGGTGACTAGTATGTTTATAAATGGGGAAATCTGTCTACAGAGACATGCACATGGGGAGAAGAGCATATGAAGACTGGGTTATGCTGCTGCAGGACGAGGATCTACTAGAAGCTGGGAGGTCTAGATCCTTCTCTAGCCTCTTTAGAGAGATCATAACCCTGATAAAACCCTGAAATTGGACTTCTAGCCTCCACAACTGTGAGACAACGAATTTCTTTAAGCCACTTAGTTTGAGGTACTAGGTTATAGAAGCATTAAAAAAATTAATATAGGATTGTCAACTCAAGCTCCCTCAGAGACAGTCAAGTGACATTAATAAATGAAGCCTCAATTCCAAGAATAATGGAATTCCAAAGAATAGGATATGTGTGTTCTACTTGAAGATGGTCACATTCAAAATGCTAACCACCACTAGTAACAACAAACCTGATAGCATGAAAAGGAATAAAAATATGCTACGTTGATATTTAAAACTAAAACTTCAATTTTAGATGTTTCTGACAATTAGCTCTGAAAGTTTTCACTCAGATGTTTTATGATTAATTTGTGCCAAAACATCTAATATTATCTTGTCAAATATCCAAAAGCTATTACTAGCCAGGCACAATGGTACATGCCTGTAATCCCAGCAGCTCAGGAGGCTGAGGCAGGAGGATTTCAAATTCAAAGCCAGATTCAGAACTTAGTGAGGCCCTAAGCAACTTAGTGAGATCCTGTCTCAAAAATACAAAAAAAAAAAAAAAAAAAAAGAAAGAAAAGGAAAAAGAAAAAAAAAAGAGCTGAGGATGTTAGTGGTTAAGCAATCCCAAGTATTAAAAAACCAAAAAAAAAAAAAAAACCCAACCTATTACTAAATATGGGGTTACATATCTTTTATTTTGCTCATTTAAGACTAACCATTCCTCATGATCCATTGGCTTTCATATTGGAGTATTCACCACTGACTCTGTATTTTCCAGGTACATACCTTTTATAAATAGATAAGTCTCATGGATATTCAACTTAAGATAGACTATAAAACTCTAAAAGCTGTCTGTTATGAAGAGGTGGTCATGATACTGTTCAGGCAATAGGTATGTATGTCTGTATCCTCCTAAAATTCATATGTTGAAACCTACCCCCAGGGATGGTAGGTGGGAGTGGGGTCTTGAAGGTGAGTCATGAGTGGGATTCCTGCTCTTATAGAAGAGGCCCACAAGCCAATTTCCTTGTCCTGCCATATGAGGACACAGCATATGGCATTGACCATGAACCAGAAAGCAGGCTTCAGGAGATGGAGACCTGAAATCCACAGTGCTTTGTGGTGGGACTGCCCAACCTCCAGGACTAAGTACATTTCTGATGTCTGCAAGCTTTCTGGTTTACACTATTCTGTTATAACAGTCCAAACAGACTGAGACACTGACATTCAGTCAGAAGAAATTCCTGGAGAAGTGGTTCCTTCAAGAGAAAGAGGAGGGAAATGGAATAGGTGGAGGAGTGGAGCTGAGATCACTCCAGCCCAGGGATTCCCGCACACAGCTCTAGGGCGGGCTGGTGAACATCCAGAGTTATCCTGCTGGGAGAAACTCTAAAAGACCCTGAGGGGGCCCCTATCTAGATATATATTTTAGTGTTTGTGTTTTGTTGCACCTTTTGGAAAAATGTGATCAATAAGGAGGATGGAAAATGAAGAGCCTCTTTTAGAAACTTGAGGAAGTAAATATTTGGGGCTAGATCCCAGAAAGAGACTCATTCTTGGCCCTTGATATTAAACTCCTGTAAAGTGTCACATGTCCTCTTAACCAAACTATTAACAATCCTTTCTCAATACTTGAGAGAAATATTAACTAGAAAAAAAAATGTAAAAAATTAAAAATAATTTAGGGAAATATTAACTAGAAAAAAAGTTAAAATCAGAAATATTTTCATTTATCTAGATTCTATAAAGAAATTAAATAAAAGCTAGAACACAATCATATATATATATATATATATATATATATATATATATATATATATAATGTTCTTACTCCTCTTTGTCTGATATATTCTCCATACAGTTTGAGCCACCATGCTTTGCATAGAAAGCAACTGGCGTTTGTGACTTACTCAGATGACAAAATCTCCCATAGCGCCCTGCCTCACACATACAGGAACCAAATATCCTGTGGCAATGGCCGTTGTTGGCACAGTTACATTTTCTTCTGCAGTTTTTCCCAAAGAACCCTTTTGGGCATCCTGGAGGGTGAAAGGACAAACAAAGAAAACATTAACCCATATGCAAACCCTGCTAGAGCTGTTGCTGTATGAAATTGAGACACTGAAGACATTTCCAAGCTGGCTGGACTGAAGCTAGAGAGATATTTTGAAAATCACAGACATGATGCTGCATTCTCTGCTTAATACCCTGCGGCGACTTGCCACTGCTACAGGTTCGAAACCCGACTCAGCACTGCAAGCCCTGTGCTAGGGGAGCTCAAGTTGCACTACTATCTCCTCAACTGCCTTTTCTCCGCCTCCTTGGGGTTCTGCAGTGCATTGCACATCTTCCTGGCTTGGTCTAGAAAGCTAGCCCCTTGCTCTTCCCTTGTCTCCTCTGTTCATTCTGCAGACTTGTGCTTAAGTATTACTTCTCCAGAAGTCTCTTCCATCACACACAGTAGGCCTGTCCTCATGGTCTCATTTCCAGCCATGCATTAATAAATTTGTAATATCTATGCTTGTCTTGGACAAGACCACAGGCTCCACATGGAGGGACCAGGAACTTTCCTTTTACCTTTTTGTTATCATATCATATAGTTCTAGGCACAGTTCTTTGCAACCACTTAGTATATTTTTAAAATAGACAAACAAACATGGCTCACAGGGATATGCAAGTGGAATGCCAGAAGAAGCCTTCCTGTGCCTCTGAAAGTGAAGTAAATTTGGTTTCCGTCTTCCCAGTTCTGTGGTCTGTGAGAATCTAATAAACTCCCCATGATTTCTGGCAATCCCTAGAGATGTACATCCTCGCTGACTCTCTGCCTTCAGCTCTTGTGTCTATACAAGTAGTGTCTTTATTTTTGTGCTTCATCAACCCATGTAGGAAATGTGGCCTTTTCACTGGTTTCCGTGAAAAATCCATACACAGCACTCATTGGCACTTTGTGAGATTTGTATCCATTTCTCCTTTCCTCTCTCCCTCCTCTCCTCTCTTTTCCTGACTTTCATCTCTCTCCTTCCCAGTTTGCCTTGGAAATCACATTGCTCTTTCTTTCACTATGCAAAGCAAATCAAGTCTTCCCAGGTTCTACATCCAAAACATAGTGTGTTATATTATACTATAAAACACACACACACACACACACACACACACATACACCTAGGCATATATGGACAAAAACTCAACTTTTTGCTCAGCAGGAAGAAAAATGCTTTCTTTGTCTCAAGATTCATCCTGCTTAGATCACAGTTGGTGATTTAATTATCAATTATGTTGTTCTGTTACACATGGCATCAGTCAAAGCCATTGCATCTTGTATGTATAGACACAGCCTTTGACTTCATCAGTAAAGGCTGCCTTGAAAAATGCAGATGAAACTTTGACTCAGTTTATTTCCATTAGAAACCTCAAGAAAAAGGTTCTCGTGTGACTGGCACAGACATTCCTACCATCTTCGCAAGTCTTCCCATGAACCCCTGGGGGGCACCGGCACCGTCCAGTCAGAAGATCACAGGTGACTCCATTCTGACACTTGCAGATGCTGTCACACTCTTTCCCATTTGTCCCTGGGGCACAAGCTGTGAAAAAAAATAGAAAGACAAACAAGAGGTGTAACCTATCTCTTGCATTACAAATGGAGGGGAAGAAAAAGCTCATCTATTATGATAGATACCAAGTAATTACAATCTCACTAGTTTGTAGACCCAGGAAAAAATCTCCAGCATATTCCTAGTTCATATGGCATAATCATTCCTGGGGGAATTACTGATGCAGCTAGTTAAAATAATGATGAGTGAAAGAAATGCTAACAAGGTTCAAATGTGAAATTTACCTCTTTCCTTAAACTCTAGCTCTCTGTTTCCAGAGCTGCCCAGACACCTTTGCTGAACCACTCCAACTAACCTTAATGAGAAACAAACCGTATCTTCTATTTTGAAAAATGGAAAGAAAACACATTAAAAAGTGCCATTTATTTTTTAACCAGAAATGAATGCAGCTAAGGTTCTCTTGAGGGTCCCAAGGTACTTGGCATAGTCAAAGATTGATGAAGTTAAGCAAACAATAGTTTTGTCAGGTTTGTTGGTTTTGGGGGAAGCGTTTAGTATTTGAATAAAAAAATATTTTGAGAAAAATGTCTGGTTTTATTTGAACTTGAGTAAATACAGTTGTTGAGGTAATTTTAGCAATCATTTTAATCGAAATTTTACCATAATAGGCTAAATATTACAAAACTACATTTACATTATTTCCTCCATCCACCCTTCCCCCACTATTCCAGATGCCAACATGGAACTCAGCTTCTTATTCACCTTTTCTTTGCTTTCAAGCCACAATCTACTATAAAAGGGCAAGGATAAAAAAAAAAAAAAAGAAGAGAGGAAAACAAAGGGAGAGAAGACACAGAGACCAGAAATGAACATTCATTGAGTTCTACCTTATTAATCTGTATGTAATAAGCGTCTGAATTCTCACAGCAACTATAGAAGGGACAGTTTAAAAAAATACACCTATGAAATGAAGCTGAAGAATTCTCAGTAGGTTCCACAGCGTCTAGATTATAGCAAGTCATCAATACAGGCAAACCTACACTATTATCTGGCACTGCCCCATGAAGCAGAATATTATATCATAAAATACAAGGATTTGCCAAATATTTCATTAGCACCCAATACAACAAAGATCTGGAGAAAAGAATTGGAAGACGTGTCCCTAACCATAGCTGGATGATTTGGAAGATATCATAAACCTTCCCTTCCATCTAGTCCATTCATCTGCCATATGAAATGATTCTTTTCTTCCCTAACCACAAAATAGTCTCGCAATAATAAATGATTTCAGCATGAAATTTCTTCAGAAGGAACAGGGTTCTAAAAATATGCTATTAAAATTAAATATGTGATAGTTTTAAAAATGTTTCATTATAATTACTTAGAGAAATTCCTGAGAAACCAAAGTAGATATTTTCATAATAGAACAATAAAGATATTGGGTCAGAAGATCTAATCTATGGGAAAGCCTACTTTCTAGATCCCTGATGAATGCTTTTTTTTTCCCCTTGCTGTGTTTTCAAAGCTGATAATCTTAAAAAATATGGGTAATGATTGATTGATCAACTCTATTTATTATAATTTATAGGAATTTTTAATATCCCCAACCCTCTTATTATTAATGAATTAATGAACATTTTTTTCATTACTGATAGATGGATTTGGATTGTCTTGTTTTCATTTTTGCAAGAATGATGAAAGAGGATGAAGAGAAATTGCTAATAAGTCATAGGTTTCTTTCATAAGTAGATTCCCCTTTTTAGGACCTCATGAGTATACAGAAGATGCTCAAGGTTTCCAAAGCCAAAGGGGCCATCCTATCTTTATTTTAATCAGCCAGCTTAATTGTAATATTTCTGTATTCAATTTTTTTTAACTGATTCTTTTTTTTTTTTTTTTTTTTTTTTTTAGAGAGAGTAAGAGAGAGAGGGGGACAGAGAGAGAGAGAGAATTTTAACATTTATTTATTTTTTCTTAGTTCTCGGCGGACACAACATCTTTGTTGGTATGTGGTGCTGAGGATCGAACCCGGGCCGCACGCACGCCAGGCGAGCGCGCTACCGCTTGAGCCACATCCCCAGCCTCATTCAATTTATTTTGGAAATGTTTTATTTTGAAGTATTTGGCATGGAAATTCTGTTTTATTTATCATGCTACCATGTTAGAGATCAAGTGTTCTGAAGATGCATATTTATTAACACAGCTTACGATATAAGGTAAGTGCTCACTTCTTAAAAATCATGCAAAAACATATTCTTAATTCCAATTTTATATAATTGAGCATGTCCAATTACAGTTCAACATAGCTTTATAGCTGGGTGTCCCAATATCAATTTTTTAAAAATTTGTTTGTTTTTGTCATTTGTTCACTGAAGTAGTGGGTGCTCATGATATGGAGCAACTTACAACAAATTTACAGGAATAGGAACTGGACAAAGAGTCCATAGCCTAGTAAGTGAGTTTAATCCAATGTAGACAGTGAGTTTAATCCACTGGAAAGATAAATAGTTGTGTTAGACTGGGGTCACCATCTAGGACTTCATGCCATAGGCAGCATGGACCATCAAAGAAGGCCGTTTGACAAAAGGCACAAAGCTGCAAAGTCCAGGGAAGCAAGTAGCAGGTGTTTTAGTTTGCTGGAAATAATAGGCTGGGCAAAGAGTCSTGCCTAGGATAAAAACAAAAGGGATTTATGGGAGCCTGATTTTAGATGGTTACCAGTGACTGAACAAGAAGTGCACACCTTTCTACAGGCAACAGGGCCCTCTTAATTAAAGCTTCAGAGCAGCAGAGAAACATGATCGGAGGCTGCTTGAGAAAGATGCCCAAAATCCTAACAAGTAATCTTGGCTACACCACTTCACTGTGCCATGGCTCATGTTTTGCATCTATATCAGGTAATAGAAAAAAAAATTGTGCTTTTTTTTTGTGCAGGAGGTTCAGAAGAAAATCTGCTTATACCATCTTCCATGCCAATCACAAAGATTAAGACAAACCCTTCCAGGAAATGATGTGTATGCTGGATTTTTAAAAAGAAAACAAAGCAGTCAATATACTTTATTTTATCATAGGGTAGTTTTAACTCCAGAAAGCATATCTTCATTTAAAATATGAAGATAAAAAGATTTTCCAGTGATAGCAACCCCAAATCTTTGTTATTTTCTCATAAGAAACTTGTAAAACACAATTAAACCAATGTAAATGGCTCTGTTAGCATATATAAAAATAGAGAAAAAGAAAAAAGAACACAGAAACAAAAAACAGGCAGCAAGAAGTCAAGCAATTTCATTTAGTTTGCACTTTGTACCACAAATCCTTTCCTTTCCTCCCACCTCCCCTCATTAGGAATAGTTTGCCACAATCTGACGATTTATTTAAATGGAGGGATTTTAGAAGTCTAAAATATTAGGATCCTTTATTAACTTTTACATTTTATGGAGAAAAAAGAGACAAATCGTCTGCTTTCCCAGGAAACACAAAATCTCCTCTTGTGCTCACAAGTTCTGTTTAAACCCTCAGCATTCATAGGCCTTCTGTATGAATAGCAAATGACTTGGTTTCTCACCCACATCAATTCTTTATTTTATCTCAACATTTTAGGGAGCACGACTTAAAGATAAAAAAAAAGCTGGGCTCAGTGGTGCCTGCCTGTAATCCCAGCAGCTCAGGAGGCTGAGGGAGGAGGATGGAGAGTTCAAAGCCAGCCCCAGCAACTTAGTGAGGCTCTGAGCAACTCGGTGAGACTCTGTCTCTAAGTAAAATATATAAAAGGCCTGATTAAGCACCCCTGGATTAAATCCCTGGTACCAAAAAAAGAGAGAACTTGTCCCCAGTAGCTAGTGGCCTGTACCATTTCTCAGGCTACTACTTAATTTCATTGCAAAGAAGAGCAGGAGCCCTGGGTCCTTCCCTCCAGGCATGTCTCTGTTCATGCAGTCCTCAGAGCTCAGGATGCAAGGCTGTCCCAAGGTGTGACCTAAATGACTGCAACATGATACTATCTTAGTTGGTTCCCGTCTACAATAGGAAATGGAAAGGAAATCCTTCTTTACTGAAAGAAAACCAGGATTTTTTTTTTTTTTTTAAAGAGAGAGAGAGAGAATTTTTAATATTTATTTATTTTTTTTAGTTTGGGGCGGACACAACATCTTTGTATGTGGTGCTGAGGATCGAACCCGGGCCTTAAGCATGCCAGGCAAGCGCGCTACTGCTTGAGCCACATTGCCAGCCCCAAGGATTCTTGACAGCATACATTCTAAAGAGTCCCAGGAAAAGACCACAATAAAGAGATAGCTTTAAAATAGAACTCATTTTATTTTTTTCCCACAATTATATTAGAATACGTTCCCTAAAGAATATCTAGAGTCTTTAGAAAAAATAAAAAAAGAAATCACTCTTAATTCCAGAATACAATAATAACAAATATCCTAGGTAGTTTAGAAGTTTTCTTTACAGGTTTTATGTGCATGGCATTTTTAGAAATAATTTTTTATCAAAAATTAGTACATATGCAAAAAGTAGACAGATCCCAAATGTATACTTCAAAAAAAATTTTTAATGATGTAAACAACTTATATGCATGTCACTCAGGTCAAGATAATGGATATTACCAGCTACCTAAAATCTCAAAGGTGACTTGATGAGTGTGTCATTAACTTCATAAATTAAGCACAATACTGATTTCTAACACCAGAGATTATCTTCTCTTATTTCTGATATTACCAGCTACCTAAAATCTCAAAAGTGACTTGATGAGTGTGTCATTAACTTCATAAATTAAGCACAATACTGATTTCTAACACCAGAGATTATCTTCTCTTATTTCTGAAGTTATATAATGGGATTATGCAGTATGTGCTCTTTGGTATGAAACTTCTTTCATTAATATAATGTTCGTAAGATTCATTTACATTATGTGTATATTCCATTCCAAAAATATACCAAATGAATTTATTTCTCCATTCTGTACTTGAGGGAGATTACTTCAATTTGAATAAGTATGGATAGACTTTCATTCCTTTAAGGTCCATTCCTTTTAAGTTTTTTTTTTTTTTTTTTTTTTTTTTTTTTTTTTTTAGGGTGAGGTCTTTCAGATAAAATGATTTAAAAAGTTGCCATTTCCAACAAGGCCTCTCTACTTTGGCAGACCCTGAGCTACAACTTTTGCTCCCTTATCATCACTGTACTGCTGAGAGCTGTGCCTTGCTCCTTATCCTCTTAGCAGCTGTCTTTTGGATTTCCTGGCACAGTCCATATATTGGAAAATAGATGGAGGAGGGGGACACAGCAAGAGATGTGTCTGTTTCCCTTCTTTACAAAACTTACTCAGGTTAATCAAACTCTGACTGCCTTTTGCCCTGAATTACTTCCATTCTGATTTGAGTAGCCAAAGAAGGAAGCTTCGTTAACAAACATTAAAATATACCTCTTTTCATGCAGAAGTCTTTAATGATATTATTATGATGATTTTTCCATAACATAAAATATTTCTGCTCTTCTACTGAATGCCTTATATAGCAGTCATCAAGCTTTTATATTGTTAAAAAACAACAAACAGAAGTAGAGCAAAATGAGTAGCTCTGTTTAACAAAGAAAGGGAAAAAAACCAGTTTTTGACTGGCTGTGCACAGTTAGTTTTGATAGAGGTTGTACTAATTTATTTTGATCAGAAATGATTTAATGCTTGAGCTCTGTTGCTTGGATATGGGAGAAAAACTGCTCACATTTTGAAGATATTTTCTTGGTCTACTTGGGCATATTAAACAACTGGTTCTCTATTTTAAAAATCTAGAAAGGAACAATATTTTAAGGCTCTTCAAGGTAGATTTTAATTATATAAAATGACTTCTAATAAAATTTTAATAATTATAAGAATTTGAAATCCTGGTCCTTTCCCCCTTTTATGCAAATTTAAAGATTTTTCCAGTTCTTTTTCTCTGTATAACATAGCAAGGGCACCTCTTCACCCTGCGCCTTGATTTTTGCAAATACCTATACAGTGCCCCTTTATTGTGCAGGAGGAAGAAAGGCAAAAGGTGGTAAATTTGATAGAAGCTGTAAAGAAGTGATCTTGCTCCAACCTTTTTTGCAACCTTCATGTTAAAAACCATTTGATAGCATTAAATATTGATAATGACACTGCCTCAACAGAATATATGTGAGCTACCTAAAAATAAGGAGAGGCCAGTGTTATGAGATCAATTACTTTACTCACCAACTTTATGCAAAGCAGTTAGTTCCTGGAAATCCTTTTCCTCTTCTCCCTCATCTTCTTCCTCTTCATTAGAGGCAGCCGGGGCAGTAGCAACATAATGACCTAGCTGAGGTGGGCTCTGGAGTTGAAGTCCTGGAAACCTCACAATTTCTAATTCCTCTTCTTCACCCTCCAGCTCGTCATCATCTAAAGCTAAGACCACAGAGGAAATGCTGGGTTTCACATGTGGATTGGAAAGGGAAACAACTAATCAAGTGTGGACAGAGCAGTGAGGGTTTGAACCAAGCAGACCAGGGGAGGTCACCAACAGGCAACCACTTTGAGATGGCTAGTTCAAAAGTCTATTGTAAAGGAAAGGGAAGCTACTGGGAGTTGAATGTGAGGGAGAGAGAACAAAAGGGGAAGAGAGAGAGAGAGGGACAGGGAGAGGAAGAGAGCAAGAGGGAGAGGTAGAGAGGAAGAAGGAGGTAGAGATGGAAGAGAGGGAGGGAGGAGAAAGGGAGGGAGGGAGAAGCGAGGGAGGGAGGAAGGAAGGAAGGAAGGGGGAAAGAAACACAAACAGAAAGCAGGAAGGAAAGAAGGGGTAGGGAAGAAGGAGGGAGGGAGGGAGATCTCAGATTATGAAGACAGAAAGGGGAAGACACGTTGAGTTGAGGAATGTGTGGTTTTTATTGCTCTTGAAAGCAAGGTGAGGCCGAGGGTAGAGACCCTTTAGAAAAGACACAAGAAAATTCTTTAGTGACTCACAGATGCAAGTTTTCCTGTCACTTCCAATTCTGTAGCCTTCAGCACAGGTGCAGTCGTAGGTTCCCACAGAATTGATACATAGTTGGTCACAGACTATGCTGACATCCAGACACTCATCCACATCTAGGAGGATGTAAACAACATCTGCTTTTTGTGTTGTTTTTGTGGCCTTCGTTAGCCAATAACAGCACACTGCCATCTAGAAAGCAGGCACAGCCCCCTGATTCTTTCTCCAGTGTACCCTGCCAATTCTTTTTTCTTTGCTTATTTCCAAGCTTACCATATAGCTTATCTATATAAGTAAGGTCTTTCTGAGACCTTGATTATGAGAGTTAGATAAAGAACATAAAACTTAAATTCCATAGTTTTAGGCTCTGGCCCATTTTGGAGGATGTTCGTTCACTCTTGAATTCAAATATCGGATAGAACACTTAAGTCCGTGCATATATCTGCACAAGGAYTGTGGAGAATTTTAGAGATGAAGGAACTCTAGTCTCTGACCTCATATGACTTAGTGGTTTATGACCAATCTGAGTCCAGACTTTGGTCAATGTGTACAAGATACTAAAAATTCACCAATGAAGCTGTATTTCTAGGCTWTGCCTGAGATTACAGATAGATTTTCCATTTGGATATGTGTACGCAAGTACGTACATTCATGCCATACAATCATTTCTTGGCTCACTCTGCTGAAGAGCAGATGGTACATAAAATTCAAAATTTTTTGTTGGCTCTGTTAATTGGCTACAATGTGGTAAATGGTAATATACTCTAGTATGTGTAGTATATATAGACTTCAGAGTTGTGTGGTTTTTTGCTGTTATCTATACTGCAAGGCTGCGGGGGTGGGGGGGCTTGATATCTACATAGAAAAAAATCTCAACAGAATTCAGGTAATTGTTTCTTTAAGAAAAGAAACATTATTTTCTCTGAGACACTGAAGCTATGTATTTGACCTGTTATTTGCGTAAAGATCAACATTCTGATCTTTGCTTTGATTTCAAGAAAAATATAGTTTGGAGTAATAGTGATTAAAATTGAAAACTTAAAGATTATACATCAAAGGTAACTTTTTAAAGAAAATCAAGTAAGCTATGACTTATGTGACCTAATTTTAATGGAATAAAGTTAACTGATTCTACTCACTATAGTCAAATGCCCCTATATCAAAAAACAGACAAGAAAATATAAGCTAGAAATCACTTGGAAATTAAGTTAGAAAATTGTAAGATGATTTATCTTAAAACATACATCAGCTATATATTAATATCAGATATATACAAGGGATTCTGGTACAGAATTATCATGAACTGATAATTGCTTTGCTATTGCTCTTGTCATTGGTTAAAATGACTCTCAATCAAGTTTGCTGTGGATGATTCCTATGGCACTGGGCTGTAACCTTCCAGAATCTCTTAATTGCTTATGTGTGTATATGCATGCATATGTGTATGTGTGTGAGATGGAGTGAAGGGTATCATGCACTAATGAATATGATGATAATAATAGCTACTTTTAGCTGAGTGATTTCTGTATGCCAACCATTGTACTTTCATTTATTACTTTTTAAAATTTACTTCACTAATCCTAATACTGCCTTCATTTTAAAGATGAGAATCTGAGGTTCACAGAAGTTGGAGCTGCCTAAGCCAACACCATAGTTTAATGGTAGAACCACATAGAAATCCAATCTCTTTTTAGTGTCTCAGCACTCTACCTTRGAGTAGAGGTAGAGCCGTCCTTCACTGATGGCCTCATCACAACCATTATTGCATGTTAGATCTCAGAAATTTACCATCACATCCACAACCGTCCAGACTGATCTGAAAGCCTTCCTGACAATGGCATTCATAGCCTCCTAAATAGTTGGTGCAGAGCTGGGCACAGCAGGCCTCTCCGTTCTCACACTCATCGAGATCTGCAGGGAAAAGGACACTCCTGTTATTGCAGAGATAGGAGTTTAGCCAACCTAAGGAAGCTCTGAGAAGCCTCATTTCCAAATTAAAACAGTGTTGCTACTGTTTTCTCTTTCTCAGGTCATATAGTACAAACACTGAAGAACACAAAGATGATAAGACCTACTTCTGGCTTAGGTTTCTAGCATGCTTCTTCTATGCCTGTTATTTATTTTAAAACAATGTAAATAATCTCGAAATGCATTTATAAGAACAAGAGAAGAAATCTCTGCTATTTTTTCTAATTCAAACAGCAATTTGAATGAATAAACCTGAAGAAACAAAAAAACAGCTTGAAAAAGATGAGACAAAGAATTCCATTTAGTAGCATTTGACAGCTACAGAAAGGAGACTATCTTAAACTCCATAATGTGCTTATTCTTCTAGAACTTCAGATCTCAAAGTGCTCTCCAGCAAAAGTCCCTTTCTCACACAACTGGGAAGAGAAGTGGTAATATACTCCTGAGAGAGGACAGAATGTTTATTTAACATATTGTGTTTTAACACATAGAATAGTTTAGAACATTTGTTTGAACATTTAGGTGATGCTTGACTAGGATGAGTGAGGTCTGGGGTTTTTTTTTTTTGTTACAGCTGTGACATTGTTGCCTTGTCATGCCCAGCCCAATGCGCAGCTTTCTAAATGATGATCTTTAAGTCTCCTGCAGTAATATTATTCTAGAATTCTAGAAGCCTGAATGTTTCTTCCTAAAACACAATTGCCCTGGGGAAAACAGAAACATACCAGAAGATGTCAAACTGAACCCCTCAGCCAAAGAGTAATCTCTTTTGCCTTTGAAGTGCTCCTTTTTAATATAATGACCAAAGAGGAGCAACAAACACCTGCTTCTGCTTTCCTTAAGCTGGGCTCCTGGGAATTGTGTGGTCAACGTGTTTGGCTTTAAGCCCTTGGTTCAATTCAGCTCTCTCTGTTAAGTTGGGTGGTCTGTCATTGCTGAGTTTACAAAATCCCATTGCTCCATAACTACATGAGCAGCCACAGATAAAAAAAGGTCAGTGTCTCAATTAACCTGGGAAAAGGTACCAAACAACGCAAGGAAATGAAGACAAGAGACAGAAAGGAAAGAAAATGCAATCAGTCAATCAAGGTGAGGGGTCAATATAAAATATCTAAATGAAGGTCATTTGGAGACAAAACACGCTTTCTCCTGTAAAATATGATAAGCACTTTCACTTCAGATGAGCGTTTATTGGTGCATTGTAATTGTACATAACAGTGGGATTCATTGTTACATATTTGTATGTGCACACAACAGAACAGTATAATTTACTGGATTTCATTTATTAAAACTTCTGCCTTTTAGACAAAATAGCATGAACTTGGAGGATTAAAAACAGTTCAAAAATACAATTGTTTTATTTCATCTAAAATATTACCCTTTATTTACTTACTTAATTTATTTTTTTAATTTCCAAATTTTTAAAGAAGACTTCTTAACTACCACCAGAGCCTCCAAACATACAGGTCTCAAATAGCAAGATGCTGAAATGCCTCTTATAATTGGAAAATAAGCCCTTTGTTCTGACTGTTATATTATGATTCATTTTGGATTCTTCTTCGATTATCATTCCTCAGGAGCTATTTCTAGATTCTTTTATATATACCATTTTCAATTCTAAATTCATCTGCAACCCCATTCTTCCTCTACCACAAACCTTTCTTAGACTGCCCTGGTATTTCAGCTCTACATCCCTTGTTTTCTAAATTTCTTGATTTCTTTTCAGATCACATTTGCTGATATCTTCACTGACTCATTTTTTTCCTTTTAATTTTCCTCCCTTATGATGGTCATATCTTATCTAAATTGGACAATGTTATCAATATTGTCTCACTATGGACACATACTGCACCAGTTACCTATACATAAAAATTTAGCCCTAATTAAAAGTAGAGCACCAATTGTAGCCAGGCAAAATAATTAAACATTTCAGCTCTGACTTCTGAAAAGCATCATCTTCTTTATCTAATTTACAGTTACTTGTTAAAGCTCAGTAAGTTAGAATTAAAAACATATTTTCTAATAACTGGATAATTGTTAAATTTATTAAGTTTGTTGCTGGTTAGATGCTTGCATGTTATACATAGTAGTCTTTCAAATTGTGTTACAACTCTATCTAGGGTGTAGCACTGATAAGTTTTCCTATTCTGGCAAGACTGGTTGACCATTTGCATATTGGCTGAATTATTTTCACATTTCTTTGTACATTCACAATTTAAAAAAAATACTTGATACTAAAATAAGCTAAAAATTCTTTCATTTCCTTCATGCATAAATGTTTTTACAAAGCATCCATGACTTTAATCTGTTCCCAGGCAAATAAGCAAAGTATGTATATATGCACTCCAAATGAATCACTKCCTTTTACACTAAGTGAATATTTGTCTTTAGAAATAAGTATTTTTTTTATCATTGGAAAATGAAATAAATTTGAAATACCATAAAGAATGTAACACTGTCATGTTGACTGCTGAAATCTCATAAATATGCAATTTTCTGCATTTTGACCCTGGCAGATGCTATTTTTTTCTAACTGTAAATAAGAACTTTACTGAATTGTACTTTTCAAAGAATAAAGAAAGACATCAATTATAATTTGCAAAGACAAGATTTAGTAAAATTTCAGTTTCCCTTATCTAGTACTCAAACGAGGAATACAGATGGAAGGAAGGGAGGGAGGAAGAAAGGAAGAAGGAAGGAAAGAAGGAAGTAAGGAAGGAAGGAAGTCAGTTAGTCATTAATTTTCCATAAATATGAACATTTCGTGGTAGAAAAAAAAAACAATTTTTTTTTCATTATACAAAAAGAGACAAGGAAAACAGTTGATTTCCATAAGTTAACCACTACAGACTCAGACAGCAATGTAAAAGGCAAGGTTGGATCAAGAAATATAAATAATGTCAGTGTTTTTCTTAAATAATTTATGAAACCAGATTACTGCAAAATATCTTGAGATTCATCCTCTCCCATCAATCAACCTATATTTAAAAAAATAATAAAACCTGCAGTTCTTAAATCATAGACTTTTACTTGTTTATTTATACTTCAGATTGTCTCTCACCCTAGTGAATAGCATGAAGTGGACCAAAGAATTTTTTTTTTTATCATTTACATTATAATTTTAAAAACAGCATCAGAAAAGAAGAGAAACAGATATAGTATCTTGATAAGTGATGGCAAATCACTGTTTAGGGGCTTGAAAGTGTCCTCAGAACCAAAGCCCATACTAATGTGATTTGATGCTCTATCTTTACAAAAGATATTCCTTCTCCCCACCCCTGACCTCCCCTCCAAAAAAGGTCTTGATTAAACATTTCATTATGATGAAAGGACAGGGTGGAATATATTCTTATCATTGTCTCAAATGATATAATTCTAATAATATGTCAGGAGAGCTTAGCCATTAAAAATAGGTTTGGATTGGGATGTTAAAAATGATTATCTACCAAAGTTTTCTTTTGTAACATAGTTACCTGCTGTTTTAAAGTTGAATATTCATCCAAATCTTTACTAATTTGAAAACCAGTACATTTGATTTAGTTTCTGTTTGAGGCATGGGGCACATGATAGCATCTGTTGTTGGAATATGAATCACATGAGATGGTTAGGTAGACCTTGGGATATTTTCCTGAATTAAATTATTAAGCCCATATATTTTGTTAAAATGCTTTTAATCTCCTTAATTTCAAGGCAATATCTAATTGTAATGATATCTTCTGCCAAGTGATCTTTCCTTCACATTTATTTTGTAGCCAGAGACACTATCCAATCTAGTTCTCCTTGAAGTTTGAGATATGTCTCTCTTTATAGCAATGAGCATCAAGATGAAAGAATTAAATGAATCCAGGGCAACTTTTGAATGAAGATGGCATTGACCAAACATTACCTATGCACGTTTTCTCATCCGAATCAAGCTGGTGTCCATGGTTACAGGAACAAAGGGGTCCACCAATTGCATGTTCACAGTGATGGGAACAGCCACCATTGTTCTTTTCACAGCTATTGACAATTTCCAATTCAATTCCTTTCCAAAACAAGCAAAAGATGGTCATTAACATAACAAAAGAGAAACCTGAATATATGTCAACAATGAGCACACTTTCTCTGTTGAGAGGATGACAAACTTTATTGGAAATTTATCAACACTCTGTACATTTAAAAGTAAATGTCTGAGAGCTATTCAGCATTGTAAATATCTATACCATATTGAAATACTAATAAAGCTATAAATAATGTTAAGTTGACCAGATGATGCAGAAAGATGAAGATAAGCCCATCAGCGATTATTAAACACATAGTAAGGTAACTTAGGGAATTCTCAGTATCTTCAAGATAGAAAAGTACACGTATCGAATCAACAACCAGAAAGCAAATAAGTTGTTTTCCAGCTGACATTTCTTTCTCAGCTAATTGTATGTTATTATCTGTCCTTTTTTAGGGTCTACAAGTACATGAAACTACTGTTAAAAATAGCCTTGGGACAAAAGTATGTAAGTAACACCAGTGAATTAGCTGATCACATGTAAGTAGTGTCAAGTGGGTCTATTAGTCAGCTTTGATGTATATGACTCATTTGTAATGTTAACATACTATTACTTTGAAAACCAATTTGCCAATCCTGATAGAGGCTACTAATTGGGGACATACTAGTGAGCACTGGCTTCAGCATATGGATGTCAACTGTCCTGAGCATGCAGGTATTACAGCCTGAATTTCTAAGTGAGGAGATGAGAAATAAGAAAAGATTTTGAACCCATGTTACCAATATGGAGTTTAGATAGTCTGACTGCTGTTTTTAACCATTAGAGTCCATGTTCCTTCATCTGTGTTGTGTGGACACAGCTTTTCTACTGAGTGTCTATACTGATTCATTCCCTTCCCATCTTAATTGATGAATCCTTTGGAAGAAGATAGGGGGAAAAGAACAGGACAAGAGTATAGGATTGTGATACTTCTCGAAAGCACAAATCATCAACTGCCTAGATATTGGCTAGAATTTCAGAGATCAACCTTGACGATCCCTGATCCACAGCTTCGAGTTCTGGGCAGACAGTAGCCCTGCACGCTCCCAAAGCATCCGGTGCACATCCCTGTCATTGTGTTCAATCCACTATGCCATCATCATCTTGCATTACCCAGCTCATAACAGATATTCAAAATGGGTTTTGAATGATTGGATAAAGTAAAGATGGGTTATGCTAATCAATTATTGTTGAAAGCAAGAACCCTTTGGGGTTTAGAAACAACTAAACTAGTTGTTTTGTCCAAAGAAAATCAGACAGCCAAAAGAAAGATTAAAATTGTAAAGGAAACTGATTTTTTCAAATATTTTAAAATATACATTTGGGATCTATATTTTAACTTATGGGTCTGGTAGTGAAGGTAGGTATACACATCTCTATGAAACAGAATTGGGATTTTTTTCTTCCTTTTTACTTATGACTTCTATTGTCATTCTTACATTATTTTAAAGTATTTAAAAATCATATTTGATATCTGATAGTTCATCAAGTCTCACTCCACTCAGAATGGCAGCTATTATGAATAGGAACAACAGTAAATGTTGGTGAGGATGTGGGGGAAAAGACACACTCTTACACTGCTGGTGGGACTGCAAATTGGTGCAGACAATATGGAAAGTAGTATGGGGATTCCTTGGAAAATTGGGAATGGAACCATCATTTCACCCAGCTATCCCACTCCTTCGTGTACATCCAAAGAACTTAAAAACAGCTTATTACAGAGACACAGCCATATTAATGTTTATAGCAGCACAATTCACATTAGCTAAACTGTGGAACCAACCTAGATGCACTTCAATAAATGAATGGATAAAAAAAAAATGTGGCATATATACACAATGAAATATTACTCAGCAATAAATGAGAACAAAAATCATAGCATTTTCAGGTAAATGGATGGAGTTAGAGAATATAAAAGCTAAGTGAAGTTAGCCAGTCCCCAAAAGCCAAATGTTTTCTCTGATATAAGGAGGCTGATTCACAGTAGAGTAGGGAGGGAGAGCATGGGAGAAATAGAGGAACTCTAGATAGGGCAGAGGGGTGAGTGGGGCAGGGAGGGGGCATGGGGTTAGAAATGATGGTGGAATGTGATGGACACCATTATCCAAATACACGTATGAAGACACAAATTGGTGTCAACATACTTTGTATACAACCAGAGATATGAAAACTTTGTGCTGTATATGTGTAATATGAATTGTAATGCATTCCATTGTCATATATAAATAAAAAGATTGATATAAAAAAAGGAAATGTTGATTGCTAAGAATAATTAGAGCATTGCTGGTAGTAGAAGTCAGGTCTCCCAGGACAGTTTTACTAATATATAATGTTACCTTTCCCAGATTGCTTTCATGTAGTTAGAGTTTAGATAAATACTTGTTTTAAATTTTCTTTTTTGAATGATACTGTAAAAGTTAAATGATTTATTATATTTATTTGGATAGTTATACAATGCAAATTAAGACTTAAATATAACATTAAAACTTTTGTTTACAGATGAGAGATATGAGGTTCAGGAAGGATTAAGAAAACAGAGTTAATGAGAAGGAGAGTCTTCCATTTCAGAAGGGTTTTCCTATGTCATATTGAAGCCAGAATTAGACAGGCAGTCAGTGTAGATAGGTAAATCAGGTCAGATCAAGGAAGCCAATTTGAGTGAGTCTGGGAAGTTGAAGACTGTCCCCTGAGAGATCTTATCAAGAACCTGCCCCTGCTCCAAACTGTTGCCAGGATTTCCACTCCCTACAGGGAGCTATAAGATTGTTACTGTGTCTTTGGCTACTCCATCCTGCCCTTCCCCCTTCAGCCCACCTTTCCCACCTTTTGGCCCTCCCACCCAGCATTCCTGGGCTTAGTCGCCTACACAGGAAGGAGAAAGGGGTAGGGGGCAGGAGAACAAAGCAAGCTTAGGACGTATAAAAAGGGCAGAACACCTYGCTTCTTGGGATACCAAGATACCAGCTATGGCCCCCTTCTCCCTCCTGGGAGAAGTCTATGTTACCCCTTTTAAAATAAACCCTGCTTTATATGCTTACTCAGCGTGCTTCTCTAATGTTCAAACTTCAAACACATGGGGAAGCAGGACTCATCACTGGTAACGGTTGGTATCAATATGTGTTAACAGAAAATGATTTCAGTAGCGGGGCAACCTATTTCACTGAAAGGTATTAATAGTTCTAAGGGAGGCAGTATGAAAGTAGAAAGAACACAATATTCAAAGTCGAAAGACCTGGCATTTGCAGGGTATGCAAGAAGTTTGCACACCTGAAATCCTAGCAGTCAGTCGGGGAGGCTGAGGTAGGAGGATCTCAAGTTCAAAGCCAGCCTCAGCAAGGGTGAGGTGATAAGCAACTCAGTGAGAGGGACCCTGTCTCTAAATAAAATACAAAATAGGGCTGGGGATGTGACTTAGTGGCCCAGTGCCCCTGAGTTCAATCCCTGGTACCAAAAAAACAAATAAACAAACAAAAACCTGGCACTTTAAGGCCCTGCAATAATAACAAATTATTTTTTAACCTCTCATTCTCAACTTTTACCAATTATTAACATAGGGATTGGGTTATGTCAATGTTTGAAAACTAGTGGCCTGCAGAGAGAAAGAATTTGACCCCTAAGATGTTTTAAAAATTGAGAAAATTTTCATAAAATTCTGAATGCTTACAGTTTCTTTCCCTCCTTCCCTCCCTCTCTCCCTTCCTTCCTTTCTTTTTTTTTTTTTTTTAAACTAGAAATTGAACCTAGGGCACTTAACTACTGAGCCATATTCTCAGCCTTTTTTATTTTCAATTTCACTAAGTTGCAGAGGTCAGATTTGAACTTGGGATCCTCTTCCTTAGCTTCCTGAGATGCTGGGTTTACAGGTATACACCACAGAGCCTGGTTTACCTTTTCTTAAAAAATTAAAAGTCTTCTATTTTAAAAAAATAAATTAAAAAGCTAATAACCTATATTACAGTTATTCCAAAAAATAATCTTGCACTTTCATATAAACCTAAATATACTCTTATTACTTTGCAATTCTAGTCCTGGGGTATGTTTATGCAAGAAACTGTATAAAAATACTTACAGCAGTTTTCTTCATAAATTACCAAAAAAACTGAAAAAAACCTTCAATGTCCTTGAAGGGGTGCATAATAACCTAGCTATGGTATATCTATATAATAGCCTACTACGCACCCCCAAATAGAACTCTTTGGTGAGCAGCAACTTATCTAACTATCAAAGGCCTTATGCTGGATGAAAGGTTCTATACCTTGTGACTCCATTTATCTGACATTACTGAAAAAAACAAAAAGCCAGTGATGGAGAACAGATGTGTGGTTGCCAAAGGTTAGGGGTAGGGAACAGAGAGCAAGCCACAAATAGCACAGGGAGTTTTCTGGGATTGATGAAAATGTACTTAATTCTGATTGCAACAGTGGTTATGTAAATCTATGCCTGTGGTAAAACGGATAGAACTATATAATAAAAAAGAAAATTTTACCATCTGCTAATTTAAAAGATCCAATTGGAGAGAAGATAACCCTGTCTGGATCCCAGAGCTTTCTCTAGTGGACCTCACACTGCCTGATTTCCAGCAGTACTTGATATCTTTGGCCAAGTTCTTCCTTCTACCTTTACTTAGATTGCCTTTCAGGAAATCATACTTTTCAGGTTTTCATCATACTTTCCTGGACATTTCAGCCTTTCATGACCCTCTGTCATATTCTAGTTGCTAGGTGCAGAGGACACCAGCCTCAGTTCTCTGTCCATGGCTCCAGATGCCCTCACTTTGTTAGGTGATCCCATTCTTGCTTATGGCCTAACTACTACTATCCCAGCCTTGCCTTTTATAAACTTCTAGATTATTCTATCTAGTTAGAATACAGGCAGAAACTGCCCAGTTCTCAGATCTATTTGGTCTCTCAAACTTCACCCAGTGAAGACAGAACTCATGATTTCCAAATATACCCCATCCCATTGTCCAAAACTCTTTTTCCACAGAACTCCACATTTTGGAAGTAGTCATTCCCATTCACCTCGTTCCGGAAGCCCCAAACCCAAGGGTCCATCCATTTTTCTGCAAGCAACATAATTTCTTTATTTTTTATGGCTAAAGTCACATGGACATTTTTTAAAAAAATGAATATCATAGCACCTTACTGCTTATTCAGAACTATCCCAATGCCTTCTCATCCCATTTAGAATAAAGTCTTAATTCTTGCTTACTTTTGCCCTGGCTTAATGGCCTTGTATGATGTGCCTCCTCCCACTCCCTGCCTACCATTCTGATTTCATTGCTTATTTATCTCCTTATTCACCACTTCTAGCCCAGACTGGCTTCTGACCAATTTCCTGAACCCACGAAGCTCAGCCCTACCTTAGAGTTTTAGTTCTCACTGCTCTTGCTTCTTGGATCTTCTTTTCATTACAAACAGGCTGAATATCCCTTATCTGAAATGTGTGGGACCGAAATGTCTTCCATTTTTAACTTTTTCAACTTGTAGAATATATATTTATATATAATGAGATCTCTTGCAGATGAGACACAAGTTTCAACATGAAAATCATTTGTTTCCTAGCCACTTTATATGTGTGGTCTGAAGGTAATTTTACGCAATATTTGTAGTGCACCTGCGCTTTGATTGCCTCCCACCACATGGGGTCAGGTGTGGAATTTTCCACTGTGCCATCATGTCAGGGCTCAGAAAGTTTCATATTTTGGAGCATTTGGGAGTTTGAATTTTTGAATTAGAGACAACCTGTATTATCAATATGTGTTGTGACAGAACATATTTATTTGATAGCTCTTCCATTTTCTATCTCTTCTGTATGAATTTTACATTCCACAAAGGGAATGTCTGACTTGTTGATCATTGTGTCTCTAGGCTGAGAACAGTGTCTGGCACATGGTGGGTGTTCACAAAGCACTTGGTTAGTTGAGTCAGAGAATCCAGACACATTGACAGAGTGCTTGCTCCTTTTGGGAAACACTTAGTAGGAAGTAAGCAGTAAGGGTCCTCTTTAGTACCAGAATTCCCTCTCCAGTTCAACGCAGTTCCCGTAGCTCTTTATTTCCTCATACTCAGCCTTCTTTACACATTTATATTTAGTCTTGTTCTGGTGCCTGAAGTAGATTCTACTTAAAGTACTGGAACCTACAATACATTTTCCAATATATATCAGAGTTTCAGGAGGGAAATCAGAAGTATCATTCTGAAGAATTGTATGTGGAATCATTTCATTCTTGCTGGTTTCCTGTGATATTGCATCAGTACAGTTCTATGTCTACTGATGGTAATCTAGTACAAATTAATGATAGTATAGTAACCTCTTTTAAAAAAAATCTGGGACTAAGCCAGGCATGGAGATGCACACCAGTAATTCCAGCTAATTGGGAAGCTAAGGCAGGAGGATTGCTGCCTTGGTAACTTAGTGATATTTTGTCTCAAGATAAAAAATATAAAGATCTAGAGATGTGGCTTTGTAGTCAATCATCCCTGGGTCTAATCCTCATTGCTGAACAAAAAATATATATGGGTACATATTTATGCACACACACACATACATGTGTATATATGTATACATATGATTATGCATGTGCATTTGTATATATATGCACATGAATAACCTGCTTTATACATATATATGTATATGTGCATAGATGTATATGTATATATGTGTATATATGTATCAATATGATTAAAACAAGTTCAAACTCATATCTATAGCGGCCTACTAAAAGTAATTGACATTTTGAGTTCTTGATCCAGATGACAAATATGGCTTAATGTCATACTATTTTTTAAAAAGTCATACTAAAAATGATCCTCACAGATTACCATAGGTAGAAAAYACATTATTTGTAATAAGTATTCATAAAACTCAATTTAAACTGTATTATGCATTTTTTTTGAAGGAAGGCTTGTCTAACCATGCTATGTCTGGAACTTTCCAATTTCTAATCGGAAATCAGTGAGAGGTACTTCATAGCTCAGTGTGAGGATTCAATGGTTATACTATAAAATGTTTTGAGACCCTCTCTCAAGAAATTACATCAATATAAAGCACTGTATTCTAGGCAAAAGGTAAACTAAGTCCCCTAAAATACACTTGTTAGAGATGATGGGCAATAATTCATTATTAAATATTACTATGCTCTGGAAAGATTTACTCTGCCTATAGGTTTTGAAACACCTCATAATACAAGTTTTCACCAAGAAAGCTTTATATGTGAGTAAATACTGAGGTCTGGTGATGACTTCAGAAAGAACTTAGCCAAATAGTCACATAAGGGAAATAAAAATTAAAATATATTTCTATTAAATGTATTCAACTATAGGGAAAATTGCTTTCCCAACTAAATTCTACAGAATGTCTATTATTCATAAATCATTACCAATAATTATCCCCTCTTTCATGATAACTGAGAACACACCACTCAGACTACGAAAGTTTTATTTCATACATTCGTAAATGTATTCATCCCCTTAAACTGTGTCTATATTTTAAAAACCAAATATTAAAAATAAAGGAAAACCCATCAACATTTTTCTCTTCCTGAAAGGATTCCTTAGGGTATTCAGGAAAAGACTGACTTTAGAAATTGTATCTTAATCAGTAGTCAGTTTGTCCTTGCCATCTTATTTAGTTTGTTCTTTAAAAGGCAAATATCACCTTAGCAAAAACTTCAGTCTACAAACAGTAGAAATATACCAGAAGACTTGAAGGCCACACTGGCAAACCAAGAACTGCAGAATTTTATGCAGAGGAGACTAATGAATTCAGTGACCTTAATAATATCTCTTCAGGAGGGAGCTCAGTTAAAAATGCTAAAATACATATTCTATTAATCACCATATCAATGCCTCTTCTTGGTTAACAACAATAAAGAGACATGTAATATATATATAAACAGATGATGAAGTTGAAAGGGTAGTATATATAGCACTGAAAGACCCTCTTTCAAACCCAAGTTCTGTCACTTGCTGATTTTGGGTTATTGGGTTTTGGGCTCTAGTGTTGAATGTATAGTTTACAAAGATGGGGAAAAACAGAAGAACATCTCTGGGATGTAGACTTATAAGCAGCAGTTTGGTTTTGGCTCTGTCAATTTTGGTTTTAGAAGTCATAGAAATGAAGACATTGAGTATATAGTTAATTATATTCACATGTAGTTTAAACAAGAGAGACGTTGGAAATATTTGACATTGAAATAGAACACAGATGGAGAGGAAAGTATATTACTGCAGAAAGGAAATGAGAAATTTAAGAAGACTGAAGGTAGTCCACTGTGTTGAAAGATGCTGAGAGGCAAAGGAGTATAAAACCAGAGAAACTGCCATTTAATCTGGCAACATGGAGGTCTTGCCTGACCATGGAGGGGTGGAGATGGAGTCCTGATTAGTATGGACTGTAAGATGAGAAAAGAGAGACACTGATCATGGTCATCAAAAATTTTGCTGTGAAAGTTCTATTGGGATGTGGGCCCATGTGAACATACTTTCAAGACAGAAAGCACTTGACCATGTTTCTATGTTAATGAGAACATCCCAGAAGGCAGAAATGACTATTCAGAAAAGAGGGAGATAATTGCAAAAGCAAAGCTATGGCGATGTTAAGAGATAATGGAATCCAAATAAGATGGCTTTTGATAGAAATAGGGCCAACTCTTTCATACTAATAGGAGTGAAGGCTTCCCCATGTGATTCTAGCAAAGACTAGGAGATTGTTGGCAGGATAGATTGCCTACATTTTTGGATGAGGTCAGAGATAAGATGGGATAAAGGCAAAAGTATGGAAAGATAGTCAAAAAAAGATTTGGAAGAGCAAAGAGGGTGAAAGTGATATAATCTGGCATTATATGTGGGTCCTGCCATGCTGCTTAATCAACTTGAGTGTTACAGCATGAAATTTAAAACAAAACCAGTTAGCATGGCTATGCTTTGAACACAGCAAAACTTACCTGCTAGGGTAAAGATATGAACTAGAGAAAGCAGGGAAGAGGGCATTCAGAGAAGGTAGGATCAGAATATGGAAAATTTTATTGTCCATGGACGAAGACCACCTAAGAGGTAGAGATGAAGAAATCTGTCATAAACAAGAGAAAAACATCTGTCATTTGAAAAAGAGGGTGGGGAAAAGTAGGGATGAATAAGGATGGGAAATACTGAGGAAGAAAACTTGAGGAATTTGTATCAGCTAGTTCTAAGCTAAGTGAAATAGGAAATGTGTTCATCCATAGATGAAAACCAGTAGGGAAACCACGGTTTCCAACAAACAGCAACTACCACGGTGAGCTCAGCCCACTAACACGGCAACATATCCCTAATAAGGGGCATATTAAATTGTGTAACTGGACCTAGATAAGGATCAAGTTAAGGTCAGAGGACATGGATCAGATTTATTTGAAGAGAAGAGGTAGAGGGAAGAGTGAGAAAGACGGGAAAGTAGGATGAGCTGCTTAAAAAGCAAGCTGAGTGGAGATGGGGGAAGGAGGACAAAAGCCAGTGTGGAAGACATGCACCTGGGCCCCCACTGAGTCGAGCATGATATTGCAGCCTAGCATATCTCCTGCAGGATGGTTCCTTCACTCCTTCAAGTTCCTTTGCCTTCAGTTTTACATTGAGTTTTGTAGTGATTAATAAATAACGCATGGCAGCAGTGATAAAGAAAGGCACTACTTCACAAAGAAGAGCTCTCAAGCCCAAGAATCCCAAATCAGAAACCCCGAGGGCTTAGTTCTTGCTTGCCCACATGGCAGATCATTACACTAACCATTTTCTTCTGACTCTGAGCCCCTCTTTCTTTATCGGTAAAATGGAGGGAGATGGACTTCTTATATAAGTAAACAGGGGGAAATTCTCAGGAGATTCTGCTTTGGCAAGATATGCAGTGTTGTTCTTCTGTTTACTGCATTTATTTAGTACCAGTCAAACATACTTATTTCCTGAGCAGCAGTTGTGGCCACTTACTGTAACACTGATGTCCATCAGCTCCCAGCTCAAAGCCAGGGTCGCAGGCACAAGTGAAGGACCCCACTGAGTTCACACAGCGATGACCACAGTGAGCAAGCCCTTCGGTGCATTCATTTATATCTGTAGAGAGAGAGACAATAGCCATGTCTTAGCAGCTCTAATTAAGACTTCTTTGTAAACTATAAAAATAAACTAACCTTCCCCCTCCATTTATCCCCTAGCATACAATGAAGGGTCAAATACCATATGGACTCCATATTCTTAGTATGAAGAGGGCATTTATAAAAAAACAACTCTCCCTTACTTCTGCTGTTGGTCTTATGTGCTCATAAACACTTCTAGCTAGTAGAACCTACAATTTTCTATTAATTAAAAAAACAAAAGAAAAAAAATAGGTCCCTCAATAATACAGGTAGAAGTTAGTTATTAAAATTTGCCTTTAGGAATATATATCACACTCTGTTAATCAAAAACAGCACTGCTCTGGTTTAAATTAGACAATATGTGTGGCCGCTGGCAAGGCAGGTTTGGGGCTTTTATATGTAGCAATCCATGGTTTATGTTGTGCAAGGGAATGTTACAGGCAGGCCATGTGAACTCTGGAACCTTCTCTCTTGGTGTTGACCATTAATTCTATTCAGTGTGACTTCAGTTTTGAGGCGCCCACAATTTCTGCTTCTTCCTCTTAAAATGTCAGGTCTCATCATAATTATTTTTTAGTAGTATTTCCTCTTTCCACTGTCCTACATGTCTAAAACCAGGGCACAGAAGAGGAATACTCATTCTTTTAATATGTTCATAAAAATACAAATAGGCAGTAGTTTTAGGGATATATTTTATGGTTATAATGTATCAGGTCTTAAAAGGTTGAGAAAGATGGTAGAGATGTATGTATGTATGAATGTATGTATGTGTATATGTATGAATCTGTCTGCCTGCCTATTCATATTCATCAATTTTCAACTATTTAATAAGACCCTATTCTGTTCCAGGTGCAGATCTGTGGAAAGAGAAGTCTAAAGCAAAATGTTTTCCTTAGAATAGTAGGCTAACCGAATCCATAAAAACATTTTATCTTAGTTTTGGCTTGAAGGAATAAAACAAACTTAACACTAATTTCTATGTCTAATTATTTTTTCAATTTCACAAAATGTTTATCAGTTCTGTAAGTCAGGAAACATTTTTGTATTTTCCTAATTAATCTAAATAAGCTGTTTCTCATTACACGAAAATGTCATGATAAAAATGAAGGATTCTGCGATTTCTCAGAAGTTATTAAAACAAAGACTGTCCCACAGGAATGATTTCCTTTATCAGTCCTGGTCATGGAATAATTTATCACTTTCATCTTTGAATTGAAGTATGACTGTTTTGCTATTTCTGAGAAACAGAAATGTGTAACCTTGTATTTACAGAGTTTCTTTCTTTTTAATTTTAATTATTCCTACCTTCTGAGAACATTCATTTGCACACACTTGCTTTTCAAAGGTTATCCCCACCTTCTGCAGTCTATAATAAAAATCTCCCTGTGTGGTTATGAAAGGTTTTGAAATATTAATTCTAGAAGTCATTTCAGAATAAAAAAAACCCCAGAAAACAAAAAGCATTAATTCTGAAGCTACACAAGGTCTTTTTTCTTAATTGTAACTAAGAATTTCACTTAGTTTTATAGCATTATAAAAATACCTTTCAGAGTGATCAAATAAGAATTTAAATGTTCCCTTTTACTCAGAAATGAAAACACCTTTGCTCCTAGCTGTTCTGCCTATTCAAAACTGAGCTACCACAAAATTTCAAACAATTACACAATTAAGCCATCAGCTTCCGCTTCCTACCTGCACAGGCCTTTTTGTCTTCAGACAGCTGGTACCCTGGGTGGCAGGCACACCTGGCCACGCCATTCTCACTCTGACACATGTGAGCACATCCATTCCCACCTATGCAGGGGTCCATCTCTGAAAGCAATTAAGCAGTGAGAGTTTACAATTCATTCAGTTTAGAAAGATGAGCCCAGTAGAAGGGCAGACAAAGAAGAACCAAGCAGCCCTAGAGCCCCTGGATTTCCCACCGAAAGATGGAAAGGACTGCACAAAGACATTTCCCCATTTCCTATGGAACCTGTTCAACAAAAGCATTCCCATTTTGTGATCTGAACCTCAAACTCAGACTAATCTAAATGTAGATCAAGGCCAAAGAAGAATTAATTCATTGTCACCCTTCCCCAAAGTATGCCTCCTGCTCTCTGGTATCTGATTGAAGAACCAGCAGAGACTCCTTCAGATACCTCTTGACCTTCCCTCCGGCTCTCTCCACCTTTTCTGTTTCTATGAGTAAGCAGGCTCATCCTTAAGTAAAGCCTATCTCGTCTACTAGGTCTGCTCTGCCTGTGAACAAGCAGTCATGGGGTCAGGAGAAGGAGGTCTGGAGAGATGGAGGGAGAGTCCTAGCTCTAGAAGGCATACAGGTAGCCCTGAAGAAGCTGAAATGCCTCCACTGGAATTAAATCAGCTGGCCTCCTTCTCTGCTTCACTTGCTCCTATTTTAATCATTCTTAGTCATATTATCTGGAAATTCAAAGCAATGGGAAGCCACAGGAGTCTGCACAGAGCTTATTTGTCAGTTTTTGTTTAGTGACTCTGGCCTGAATCTATGAATACAGACTTGCTTTGTCTTACAGGCTGCTGGAATAGGACCTCAGAATGTCCACTCCTGCCCCTGCCTGCTCCATGGGAAGCCAAGGCTTTATGAAAATATAAATAACACATACAGAACAATATACATTGTGCTGCTTCTTAATTTTTAGATATAGAGATATTGAGGTGAAATGTTGATGAATTTGGGGAGTGTTACCATTTGAACAATATCTTCTGAAGTACGAGCATGTTTTTCTTTTTATTTAGACCTTCAACAATTAATTAATTTATTATTTATTTCAACATTTCATAGTTTTCAGTATACACACCTGCACTTCTTTTGTTAAATTTGTACCTATGTGTCTTATTATTTTTTGATGCTGTTGTAAACGGAATTGTTATGCAATTTCATGTCTGGATTGTTCATTGATAGTATATTGAAATTCAATTTATTTTAATGTGTCAATCTGGTATTCTGCTGCTCTATTGAATTCCTTTATCAGTGTTAATGGGACTTTAAAGGTACTTCTAAGGATTGTCTTTTTAATAATTTTTTTTTATTTAACTATTTAATTTCACAAATTTACTGAGTACAGTGTGATTAGAACTTTCTCTAGAGAATATGATATGCTATGTGCAAAAAATATTTTGCTTTTCTTCCTTCCCAAACTGGATGCCATTTATTTTGTTCTTACCTTATTGCTTTAGCGAAACCTTTAGTACGATGCTGAATAGACATACCATCTGAATGAGCTGACACCTTGTCTTATTCCTTATCTTAGAAGGAAAGCTTTTTTGCTATTTCATAATTACAAAATTATTATGAATGATGTTATCTATTTTTTTTAATAAACTCCCTTCACTGGAATGAGGAATTTTCATTGTATCACAAATTTGTTAGGTAATTTTATTATGAAACAATATTAAAATCTTAAATTCTTTTTTTCACCCATTATTGATAAGATCATGGGGTTTTGTCCTTTACTTTTATGGTTTATCACAATAATTAATTTTTAGATATTCTATTAATCTATTTTCCTGAAATAATTCTCACTTTGGTATACTGCACAACACTTCTATATGTTGTTGGATTTGATTTCTTTGTATTTTGTTGAGGATTTACATATCTATACTCATAGGGGATATCAGTCTACAATTTCTTTCTTGCAATATCTTTGGTTTTGTTATCAAGGTGATTCTGTACTCATGGTATGAATGTGAAGTGTTTCCTCCTCTTCTATATTTTGGAAACATTTGTGAATAATTTGTATTAGTTTTTTTTTAATGTGTATTGTCTTTTGTCATTGAAATATCTTGCCCAGGACTTTTCTTATTGGAAGCTTTAAAATGAGTTATTTAATCTCTTTACTTATTATATGTCTAATCAGATTTTCTATTTCTTCAGAAGTCAATTTCACTAATTCTCGGAATTTGTCTCTTTCATTTAAATTTGTTGTTATAGAGTTGTTTGTAACATTTCTTTATTCTACTATTTATTTCTGTGGGGTCAGTAAACAGGATCCAGCTTTCATTCTTGGTTTTAGTAATTTAAGTCTTCCCTTTATTTTTCTTCATCTGTCTAGCTAGGAGTTTATCAATTTTATTGATCTTTTCAATGAAACACTTTTGTTTTTGTTTTATCTGTTGTTTTTCTATTCTCTATTTTATTAGTTTATACACTAATCTTTATTATTGTCTTTCTTTTTACTTTCTTTGGGTTTAGTTTGTTCTTGTTTCTCCATCATTTTGACGTGGGGAGTTGGGTTATTGGTTTAGATTCTTTTTCTTTTTCCACTACAGGCACTGGTGGCAATAAACTTCCCTCTAACACTCCTCTTAGCTATATCCCAAAGTTTTGTTACACTGTATATTTATTTTGACTCATCTGGAAGTATTAGCTAATTTTCCTCATGATTGTTTTCCTCTGATCTATTGGTTATTTGGAAATGTGACAACTTGCCTTAATAAATTCCTTTTAAATGTAGTTTTAGGATGACAGTGAAATTGAGAGGAAGGGTCCAGAGATTTTCTATATTCCCTGCTACAGTTTGGAACTAAAGCGTCTCCCAAAGGAGCATGCATAAAGTCAATGGCACTATTGGGAAGTGGTAGGACCTTTAAGAGGTGGGGCCTAGTTGGAGGAAGTTAGATCATTGAAGTGTGACCTTGAAGAGGAAGTATTGGGAACCTGACCCCTTCCGCTCCTTTTTGCTTCCCAGCCACCATGAGTGACTTCCTCAGCCAAATGCTCCTGCCTTAATATGCTGCCTTGCCACAGGCCCAACGCAATAGGACCACTAAGACTGGGACCTCGGAAACTATGAGCCAAAGCAAGCATTTCTTCTTCTTCTTTTTTTTTTTTAGTTGATTTATCACAGATACTTATTACAGCAATTGAAAGCTAATACATACCCATGTCCCTACACCTGCATAGCCTTCCCATGATTACCATACTCCACCAGAGTGGGACATTTTTCTAAATTGGTGAATCTGCATGAACATATCATAGTTTAGCATTTACCTTTGGTAATACACACCCTGTGGGTGGAACAAATGTATAAAGCATATATCTACCATTATAATATCATACAGAGAATTTTCACTGCTATAAAAATTCTTTTTCTTCTGCTTATTCATCCCTCTCCTCACAGCAACTCCTAGCAACCACTGATCTTTTTATTATTGCCACAATTTTGTCTTTTGAAGAATGTAATATAGCTTGAATCATATACTAGGTAGCTTTTTCATAGTGGCTTTTTTCTTTGTATTAATTATTATTATCAACAAACATTAATTGTACAAATTAGTGGGATTCATTGTGATATTTACATCCATGCCTTTACATCATGCTTTGATCCTGTCAATCCACCTTTTTTCTATTCTCATTCCTTATACCCTACAGGTGTTCTTCCCATTTCACAGTAACCCCTCTTTCTTTTAGGTAATTTTTGTTTTCAGTTTCCATTTTCACGAAAAAGCATGTCTTTTGTGATACTTGTCTTTCTGGTTCTGATTTATTTTCTTGATATGTCCTCAAGTTCCATCCATTTTGCTGCAAATGAGAGGATTTCATTCTTCTTTATGGCTGAACAATACACCATTTTGTATATATGAGTTTTATATCTGTTGGTAGGCACCTAGGCTGATTATTAGCTGTTGTGAATTGAGCCCAGCAAATATGGGCATGTCTCTTTTCTAGGCTGACTTCCTTTCCTTCAAGTATATACCCAGGTATGATAGCTGCATTATGTGGTAGGTCTATTTGTAGTTTTAAAAGAATCTACATGTGACTTCCATAGTATTGCACTAATTTAAATTCTCACCAACAGTGTACAAGCATTTTTTTTTTAAACTCCACATCCTTGCTGAAATTTAAAAAAAATTAATTGGAGTGTGCTGGTACCTTGCTATAGTTTCGATTTGCATTTCCCTGATTGCTTATGATATTGAACCTTTTTCACATATTTATTGGCCATTCATCTTACTTCTTTTGAGAAGTATCTAGTCAGATCATTTGACCATTTTAATACTTTTGTTTGTATGTTTCAGGACTAGGAATTGAACTCAGGGCCTCTCTCACATGCGAGGCCACCATTATACCACTGAAGTATATCTCTGATTTTTGCTTTTGTTTTCTCTACTTCTGAAATCCTCTCAAAAAAATTATTATTTGTGCCAACATTTTGAAGTGTTTCCCTTACGTTTTTCTTAATTAGTTTAAGGTCTTATATTAAGGTTCTTGATCCATTTTTAATTGCCATTTTTACAGGGTGAGATATATAAGGTCAGGTTTTGATCTTCTGTATGTGGATATCCAGCACCATTTGTTGAAGAGATTGTTTTTTGTCCTGTGGAAAGTTTTTTGTCAGCTTTGTTGAGAATCAGTTGGATGTAGTTGTGTGGATTTGTTCTGAGTTCTCTATTCTGTTCCTTCAGTCTATGTGTTCATTTTTATGCCAATACCATGCTGGTTTTATTACTATGGCTCTGTAGTATGTCTCAAGACATACTATGTCTATGTAGTATGTCTCAAGGCATCAGGTATTATGATGCCTCTTGCTTTGCTCTTTTTGCTCAAGATTGCTTTGACTCTTTGGAGTCTTTTGTGATTCCATATGAATTTTAGGATTTTTTTCTAGTTCTGTGTTAGGATTTTTTTCTAGTTCTCTGTAGAATGTCATTGGTGTTTTCATGGGGATTGCACTGAATCTGCAGATTGCTTTTTGTAATATAGCCAATTTAACAATATTAATTTTCCCAATCTATAAACACAGGAGGTTTTTCTACCTTTTAGTGTCTTTCAATTTCTTTCTCCAGTATTT